AATAATAAAGCCAAAGTTATTGGCTTGGATACAAGTACTTTGAGCCATGTCTTCATTTAATTATCGGGATCTTCAGTAATATTTTCCATTGTAGTTCTAATTCTAATACATTCTGTTTTCACTGTCCTTTAATTACCTTCGTTCAGTTATTTGGGTTTTTTAAATAGTCTTTTAAGTGGCGGGAGTCAATATTTACGTTTTACTTTCACTTAAATCGTACCTATATACTTAAATCTATGCTTCAATCACGTTATCTTCTATCACTGTGAACTAAAAGTTTGAATTCGTAATCAGTGGAATTTTTAGGATAAAGTCTTTTGTAACTTGGTTTAAAATAAGGATTATAGTTCTAACTTTCATCATCACTATTTCTTTTTTCGTTTCTTCTTCATAATATACTTAAAATAAAAATAATCTTCGTAAAAACTGTACTCGTAACTTCATAAACTTGCCATTTTTTCCCTTCTTTCCGCTTGGAACAGGCGAAGCCAAAGAGTAAAGTAATGGCGAAGCTCAGAGACCACTAATGACTAGGCAGTATGATTATAATCAACAATATACAAACTGTGAACTGGCAACCGGTCTATCTCAATTATGACAACTTTACAGGTGAAGAAAAAATCATTATATTTATGCTATATTGCATCTGGTTTATTAAATAAAAATACGTAGTGTACATACATATGTGTAATAAAAATATTTAAAAACTACGTATTTTTAATAAACCAGATGCTATACAAATGACGCAAACAATTTTTTTCTTCATTACAGGATGATGAAGTTATCAAAATTGAGATATAAAATTACTGATTGCCAGTTCACAGTCGAAATATCATGTCCAGTGTTGCCAGGGCTCGTTGAGTCGAAAATTACGTTTCGTTACCTGAAAAGTTATTTTTGCTGCAAAAGTTACGATTACTTTTTTCTTTCAACCGAAATGTATAACTTTTAAATGACTTATGTCTTTAAACATGCATCTACATCTTACAAAAATACGCTTCTACTACGTACGGGGTAAAGAGCACGTCAAACGTTAATAATCTTAATGTTGTGTTACAAAAAAACATTACATATTATTTTAAGCTTTCAGCTATAATTTAGTAGATTACGCCATCTCCGAGTACCTATATTGTCTAATCTGCATGTGCATTTGTAAACTATTTAGAACTTACAATAACAAATATTTTATATTAGATTTAATTATTTATATTAGATTGAATTTAAATAATATCAACGTCAAAATTTACAAAAATTGTCTTTAAAATAAGTTACTTATTTTACTAAGTTTTATATATTTAACTTGACGGTCAAAAGCGTCAAAAGTTACAAAAAACGTAACAGACGAAAAAAACTATTTATAGTATTTTTTCTTCACCACAACAAAGCAAATTTCTTGCTTTTGAGGTGATATCCAACATGCAGCTATAGGAAAACCAATATTTTTTTTTAAAAAGCTTCTTTATTTCAATAAGAACATAAATAGGAAGGTCTCATTCACTTACAACAATATAATAGAGGTATTATAAACAACTTTGAGATTGTGTACCTTATGTGAGACAAGAAAAGGTTGTCCTTGAGCTATCGATATCTCTCATCACAATTTTAAGTTAGAGCTTCGATAATACCCGGAAATTAAAAGTAAAAAAATCGCACTCAAACACGGAATCACGAGGCAATACAATATTATTATTTCATATCTACGAGACAGTAAGTATTTTTTATTAGGTCTACCAGCATTTTACAGGTAACTAAGTATATAAATAACACTGGGTAACTATTAAACTTTTCCATACTTTTGTGTTGTAAACTTAGAATAATAACGCATAGAATGATAGTTTCATATCAAACAAACTGTCACAAGTGAGGCAAAAATCAAATTCATGTAGGTTAGTTTTAGTAGTAGGTTAATTTTCGGTTTTAGTGAATATTTATATAAAAATACAAGTTGAAACGCGTTACTTCCTTGTGGAATGTGATGTTAGTATCTATTTTATGTTTGTCTGACGTATTTTTACACTCATTTACCGCACATTTCGTCATTTTTAGCTAAAATTCTTGATCTGTTCGCGGTGCAAGTTGACCTTGAGCACTGACGGCCCGCCCGCTCGTGTAGGCCCATTGGGCGCGCTTCAATTTGCCTCACTTAGCGTGTGCGGGCTAGGTTTCTATGCGTTATTATTCTAAGGTTGTAAATTTAAAAAATGTGTAAAAGGTCAGAGTGTAAAAAACGTGCTACTTAAATAATAAATAAATAATTCTTAGAGCACAGCATAAACATAAAATTTTCATGTTTAGAAACTTAACCGTCATAATTGCTCCTTAAGTAAAATTTAGGCGCTATTTATAAAAATGAATCTTCATGCGTGAACAGCCACCCTTAGAGGTGGATGATTTTCTTTAAAATGAAATGGGACCACTATAGAAGTACCCCCTTTCCAACGAAAAAAGAATCATGAAAATCGGTTCACAAATACCGGAATTATCGCGTAACATACATACAGAAAAAAAACAAAAAACCATACAGTCGAATTGAGAACCTCCTCCTATTTTGAAGTCGGTTAAAAATTAATTCAAATACACCAGTGTTGCCAAAATTTTATTAATTTCTCCCTTTATTGTGGGACTCTGGTTGACCGTGATAATTATAAGCAAAAAGATCTTAAATGGACAAAATGCAATACAAAATACTGAGTACTTAAGATAAGGTTCATACACGTTATCTTGGTTTATGGTAGGTTCAAAACAGAAACCCATAACCCAAGGTGAGTATGTCTAATTCCTCAACTCTTATAATTTATTTGAATATCGTAACCATGCATTTTTTGACGTTTTAATATGAACATCGCCATCGCTTATTTGTGCATCATCAATTATAAGTCCTACTACTGGGCACAGGTTTTAACTTAGCAGGGAAAATTCCATCCACGCCAGCCCTTGCGGGTGGGGAACTTCACAAGTTATTCGAGGATTGTGAATCTTCTTCGACATCGTTCATGTTTTTCTTGACCCAGAGGTGTTGCAGTTAACTCATTGACAAACGTGCGTAGCTTTTAACCCTTTGAAAGCCGTGGACGCTTTAAAGCGTATTACAATAACTTGACTGATACGCCAATGACGCCTTAAAGCGTTAATGAAATCTTTTAATTTCCAATTGAAATTAATAAATAAACATTACGACATTCCTTGTTATTTGTATATTCTAGTTAAGTATGGATTCATAGTTGCATTTTATATTCTGTTATGTTCTTCTTTGACTTAGGAAAATTGAATTAATATACGATGGAAATTCATGACATGTCCCATCACTATTTATGGGCTTGGCGTCTAGGTAACGAAACTAGTTTTTGCCAGTGGCAGTTAAAATGTTAGTCATAGTTTTCATGTGGGATGACGTCAGTTCAGTTCTCAATGTCACAAAACAGAAAAAATCTTTAATGATGACCCTCACCACATCGTGCCCTGCGTGTCCTAACACTTGCATGCTTGAGGATTTAATGGCGGCCACTAGAGACGCGGTCGGTGTGACTGATTTCTGGGCCACAATAGTCTCGTATACCATCGAACCGATAAGAAGATTAACAATCTCGACTGATATGGTACAACAGGCTGAATTTCCGCAACGCAAAGTAGTAGCGCCGGGTATAACGCCGTAACATCGAGTATATAATCAGAAATAGAGACGAAATGTCATTTAATTTGTTTGAAAACTATTCTGCCAAATTTGACAACTGCGATCCGATTGGCCAGCCCGAATTCGAAACAATTTGACGTGTGCCGTCAATTGTTTCACTTTAAATCGACCAGTTTAACTTGAGCTTTGATATAATGGACGAAAATTGCAAATTTACGTTTTTTTATATTTAATTACCGAAGAAATGTGATTCCATAGGAAATGAAACTATTTTTCCAGATTTAAATCGCGTATATTTGTTTTTTCAAACAAACCGACGTTTCGGGCCCTTTACAGGTCCCGTGGTCACGGTTGACTGAACCTAAGAACTCGATAAATGTGATTCCGTTTGTTTTATAATTAGATGTTTTGTTGTTTTTCCCAGGCCGCCGAAACATTCCCTATTGTTACAGATATTATCTTTATTACAATAAATAAAGAATATTTTTGGAAAATATGGAGACGTGCACACGTACTATTTCAGTTTTCTAATTTTGAGATTTCAGCGCAAACGAGAGTTTATATTTAAAAGTGATATAAGGCCCATTTACCTGATGAGTTGCCAGACCCTTATTTAGTCTCAATTTCTGGTTATATACTCGATGAGTGCCAATTATGCTTGTGAATTCCGACTGTCGTTCTATAACGAAACGTCAAAAAAATCACGATAACGAAAAAAGTAAGTTAAGAAATAGATTGGCTAAGTTAGAAATGTCACTATTTCACATGAGTTTTAATGTTTCAACAGCTTTAAGCAGTCTTTCCATTTCACCCAGTGACTGAGTAAGTTTTTCAGTGTTGGTTTTCTGGACTTCATCGGGTACTTTCGTTGTGTAGTCTTCCGCCGCCATTGCTTGTTGCAATTTGTTTATTGTTTGGGTTAAAGATTCTTTCTTCTTATCCAGTTTGGCTATTTCTTTTTGTGGGTCTATCAGGCCCTGTGGGTAAAAGATACGTTGGTAAATTATATTATGTCTAATAGATAATTCAAAGTAAACTAAAATATATAGTCTGTTTTTTTTTGTAGACGGAATAAAATGGCATTTGCAGAGTTGCCAGTTTTCATAAAAGTTTAAATAGTCATGTAGTTGTTCTAGACAGTTTTATGGGTAGATTGTATCGAACCCGGGCCCTCTGCGTGGCAGTCCAGCATGGTAACTGTTCGACCGCAAAGGTAATTATAAAAAAGAGAATGAGTAAATGTAAAAAATGTTGCTTAGTTGGTATACCGTCTGCCACGGTAAGCTAGAAGACGTCGGTTCGAATCCGGCCGGATCGAAGGAAATTTTTCTGAGTGTTCGATCTTTTTATTAATAATTATAACACACTAGTGGTGTAATTTCACAAAAAATAATTGAATATCAATTCAATAAAAAATTTAAATACATTGAATAGCGACATCTCTCGCCAGGACTGGTAACTGTAAAGATATCTAACTGGGTGATAAAACTTTCATAGATTTCTCATAGATGGCGCTATGACTAAAAAGTCGTTGAAAAAACCAAATACAAAGATACGACGCAAGCACATCGAAAAATTCGTGAGGTCCGGTGGTTCGCTCCGTTGCTTAGTTGGTATAGCGTCTGGCACGGTAAGCTAGAAGACGTCGGTTCGAATCCGGCCGGATCGAATGAATTTTTTCTGAGTGTTCGATCTTTGTATTAATAACAAACTAGTGGAATAATTTCACAAAAAATAATTGAATATCAATTCAATAAAAATTTAAAAGAGTAAATGTAAATTTATGTATTATTTACCTTGAGTACCAAATGCACTTCAATCTTATCTGAAACAGTCAAAATCGAACATCCAATAGGGGGTTCTTCATCGGACAGTTCGCTGTTGGCCAGAGACTGTACACTCCTGAAGAGATCCTTCAGCTTCTCTACTTCCAACTCCTGACTAATTACAAGGTGTACCAAGGTCTTCTGTTTGTTGGCAAGGTTATACTCTGAACGGGTGGATCGGATCAGATGGATCATCTTGAGAACGGTTTCGACGTCTGATTCGAGAGGCTCTGACCGCCAGGGGGCATCGGATTCCTGAGAAAAAAATATATATTGTGATTTAGCAACCTTGTCATGTTATATTTCTTTGAAATGCTCTGGTATGATACATAATATTGTTGTATTATGTCCACAAGAAAGAAAGAAAAGTAGTTTATTGTAACTTTATGGCAAAATATATATGACAGAATGATAACAAATAATAAAATAACCTTACGACAAAACACAAACAAAAGAATTACATTTAAAAGTTACCAAAATGGGTTCCAATCATCTTTTTGTAACAAGACGTGTGAAAACATCTCGTTACGCATTGAAGCCATTGACTTACAATTATATGGACGTCGGGTCCGCGCTAAAAAGTGTCCGAACTTATAGGGCGTTAAAATCGTATACAGAGCGTCATTCACGCTTTAGCCTTCGTTTGTTCGACTGACAGCGAAGCAAGCAAAATTAGACAGTACTGTGATGACATTACAATTTAAATTCAACGTTTTAGTTTTTTTATATTCCTTTACATGTCACTATCACTACGTTTAAATAGGTTGACTTGGGACATTTTTTCGTGGTTTTTGTATCAGACCCGTCGTCCATTTATTTGTAAGTCAATGATTGAAGCCGAAAAAATAACAAGGATGATGTCGCATCGTCCAAGCAGATAACAATAAAAAAAAAATACAATACACTTAATTAGGCGTAAGTCAAAATTAAATGCAAATAAAAATAAAAAAAATAAAAATGCATGCAGTAAAAATGGGTGTACGTGTAGAGGAGTGCTGTGAGACACCTGAGTAAATAATAAAAATTTCTTAAATGATGATTTGAAGGAGGCAAATAAACAAGGAGCCCAATAGACAAATATGCAAGTAAACTGTCCACACTACGGTTTCAAATATGACCGTCTACACATGGCGCTAAATAAGGAGTCATAGCCTCAGTACAGAGTACTAAAAAAACCGATCTCAAAAGTTCATGGTATTACATCTATTTGCCAAGTTTTATTGAAATCGGTTACAAAACCGGATTCATCCCCTAGGGGTGGAATATTTTCTTCAAATTTAAATGGGACCAATACTGAGGTACCCACTTTCCAACAAAAAAAATAATCGTCAAAAACAGTTCACAAATCCACCGGAGTTATCGAGTAACATACATATAAAGAAAAAGTTGAATTGAGATCCTCCACCTTTTTTCGAAGTCGGTTAAAAATAATGAATATGACCATATTGTGGACGGTTTACTTGCGTATTTGTCGAATAGGCAAACGAGGCCAAATACTTTGTCATACATGCTATCTACACATGGTGATTGTTTGCCAAAATTTATCAAAAACTAATAATACAAATAACTAAATAAGATAATGTTACTTACTTGAGGATAACTTGCAACGCATATCGAAGGGCAGGAAGTATCCCGTTTCGGCAACCTCTGGTACAACTCTTCTGTGATGAAAGGCATGAATGGACTCAGCAGTTTGAGGCCGTATTCGAGTGCGGTGTACAGAGTACGTCTTGCTGCTTCTTTCTGCGCGTCACTGCCTTGCGCGAATACTGGTTTAAGGTATTCCTGGAGACCGAAAGTATTTTCTTTAATAATGATAATAATGTTTGATTTTCGCGCCTAACGCTATTAATTAGCAATCGTTTATGTACGTAAACTTGCTGAAACTAAATTATCAGGCGTTAACTTGTTACTGGTTTTACGGTTTGTGTCATTTAGGGCCATCGAGTATATAATCAGAAGTAGAGACTAAATAAGGGCCATCCATCCCTGGCAACGCATCAGGCAAATGGGCCTTATATCATTTTTAAATATCAACTTTCGTTTGCGTTGAAATCACAAATTAGAAAACTGAAATAGTACAGCGCCAACAATTGACCTGTGTGTACGTCTCCGTATATTCCAAAAATATTCTGTATTTATTGTAATAAAGATAATATCTCTAACTATGGGGGGCTGTTCCATTCGGTGGTGCGGGAAAAACAGCAAAGCATCTAATTACAAAACAAACGGAATCAAATATCATAGGTAATTAAATAAAACATGTAATTTATCAATTTTCGTCCATTATAGCAAAGCTCAAGTTAAACTGGTCGTTTTGAAATGAAACAATTGACAACACCCGTCAATTGTTTCGAATTCGGGCTGGCCAATCGGAGCGCAGTTGTCACCGTAATGATTTGGCAGAATTATTTCCAAACAAATTAAATGACATTTCGTGTCTATTTCTGGTTATATACTCGATGCTTAGGGTGCATTCAAATTAGACGCTGGCGGCGCTTCTAGCGATGCGCTGTCGTAACAAGCGCGCGCCACTTTTGCAGTCACAAGTACACTAAAAATTACTGAAGCACCACAGCGCGCGCGCTTCTGCAAGCGTCTAATTTGAAGGCACCCTTAGCACGTCAGTAGCGGTCATCGACCCGACTTTCATTCCCAAGTCACAATTGGACAGCGACCAATCGCCGATCCCTATAGATCTGTCGCAATTTGGACATTACTTGAGTAACACTATAAAAGCCAATGGCATAACTTAAAAAAATGTGAAATAGACGCATATGAATATTTATATGATAATTTATATGTTGTTAATATATCCATGGCGTTCTCAATTTCACCATCGAATGTTGTGTTATTATTAACAGGGTATAAAGTCGTACCAAGTAAACATCACAGAGATCATAAAGCCAAAGGTTGTAGCAATGCGTGGTAGCAGCCGGGAAGTCGTAATTCTGGAAGCTAGTGTTAATTTTTTCCACGGCCAAGGCCACTCGGCTAAGCATCCAGCGGTCCATCGAGCACAGGTCTGCGGGTAGAGATGGTGGGTGCACCTAGGTGACAGGAAAACAGGAATTAATGTTGGTGGCTGGCTCCTGGCATCGTGCTGAAACTAGACTGTCGAAGAAGGTTAACAACTCTCGGAAACCGTGTGAAGTTTCCAACACGCAATTGGCCAGAGTGGCGAACTATGGCCTAAACACTCGCCTGAGAAGAGACCCATGCCCATCAGTGCGACGTATTACCTCATAGAACTGGCAAACTCGACAATATAATCACATTTGTTTGTCCTGTGAGTGAGTTATTAAAAGAGACTGCAACAAATTAAAAAAAAAAAATGTTAAATTTAAAACTTACATTAAATGCATTTTAATTGAAAAGTCATATTACAAAATTAATGACTACGTGTTAGATAAGGATGTATGAAAAGACGACATGAGTCTAGATTCCACACGACAGTATGATTCAAAGTGTATTCCATAGCAACTAAGTTTATTTGAAAAGGGCAATCCCTAGAGTTTCTTGCTCGTTCTTCTCAGGGAAGTCAGCACAGTGAACAAGTGAGTGTAAAAATTTAATCTATGGAATTATTTAACTTTTGACTTTGAAGGAGTCTCTATTTGACATCCGATGGATATAGATGGAACATTATATGTGAGAAGCAAAGATAAATAAAGCAAAATGTTACCTCGTATGTAGTGTCCTTAGGGAAGTACATGAAAGCGAATTTGGTAGCGTTCCAGAGTTTGTTGCAGAAGAATCGGTAGCCCTGCACGCGCAGGATGTCCAAGTTCAGATCGCGGCCTTGCGTCATAGCGCAGAGGGCGAACCTGCGATTTAATTATCTAGTTAGATATTTTTATTGAAGATAAAATTTTACACAGGATTAATGAGTTTATCTCATAACCATACCATATACACTTCCGGACACATAATTCGAATCACCACGCATTTTCAGAATTAAGTGCCCTAAGCATAAACAATGTTTGATTGATTAAAAATTATTACCCAAATTGAGACTGGTATACTAAACTTCTTTTCCATAAGTCCTTGTTGGGAATTTGGATTTGCAAAACCGGGAGAAAACTTTTTCTTCGATGATAACATTGTTTTTGTATTCTAGCCCTTTACAACAAAAATACGAGGTGGTTCGAATCATGTGTCCGGGAGTATATTTTTGTATGTTGGCATGTGTGGCAACACTGTTTCTCAGTCGTGACGACTTTTGTAGTGTGAAGTTGATTGCAATTTCGAGAACTAAAGGTATAAATGATGTGGTACGTATTGCACAACAAGTAAGCTGTGTATGTAGGACGCCGATAATTGATATTTTTGAGTATTAGTTCATAAGTTTTAATGTTCACCTTTTGTAGAATTTATTTACGATTCGATAAACTACCGTCTAAATGAAGAGACGTTTATGAACTGGTGTTTGGTAGCTTAGTTGGAAGATCAATTGAAAACGTCTCTTCAGTTGGATGGTAGTTTCTCCGACAGCATATCAGTACTTCAAGCACTGAACAGCTATGACATAAACTAAGAGCTCATTTACGAATGCCATCAAACACTCATGGAGGTATGTATACACAACCATGGCAATGACGCAGCACATGAACTAGCCAGAAAAGGGTCGGAGACGGACGCTGTAAGACCAGAACCCATAGTGTCCCTCCCCTAACAATGGTCAAGAACAAACTATACACAAAGGCACAAAATCTTCTCATAATAACACATGGACGACCCTTACAGTTTGTAGACAGGTGAGGGAAGCACTCCCGACGCTCAACGCCAGTCTTGAAAATTAATCAAACTTAAAAAGCAACAGCTTCGCGCTCTAACTGCCGCACTAATGGGTCATGGTCCATATAATAAACACCTTTTTAATTTAGGTATCACAGACAGCCCTCTATGCAGAGCGTGCATGGAGATGGGGGGGAAACGGCCGCGCACATTCTCCTACAGAGCTCCGGCGTGGCCAACAACAAGGTTATGTACCTTGGTCGCTCCCCGAAATCTTCAGCAAACCGAGGAGGTTGCTGAGATACCTGGAGGAGCTTGGGTGGCACGAGTAGGACCCTTCACACGCAAAATAGGCGCTTTGTCGTCGAGTTGCGGACACCAGCCCGTTGTACCAAGTAGATGGTAGTTTATTGAATTATAAATAAATTCTACAAAAGGTGAATATTGAAACTTACAAACGAATACTCAGCAATATCCATTAGTCAGCGTCTTATATACACAGCTTACTTTTTTTTTTTTCTATTTATTCAGGGAAACAAACGGTCATAAAACAGGGGTTCTACTAAAACATTGATTAAAATAATTAGACCTAGAGTTCCACAAATATAAACAAGAAATAGTGAGCAAATACGGTTCAACTACAAAACATAAGAATTATTAATAACATATCATAAAATAACAATACCCGATAAATAAAAATGCTTATAATTTTTTTTGAAAAATTAACAATAAATAGGTAAACTAATAAACTTAAAAAACTACTTCTCTTACTTTCTTCTACTTAAGGTTAACCCAAAAATATCAATATTATTTAAGTTTTTGTTATAAAAATCAAGAGAGCGCCTAAAGAAACCATTTTTAGAATAATTTGTTCTACTAAATTTGCATGAAAAGGTAGCTTTAGAACGCAAGGAGGTGCGAACTGGAACTCTTAAATGAATTTTTTGTAGTAGTTCTGGCGAGTCAATATAATTATTTAACAGTTTGTATAAAACACACGAATCAATATAATTTCTTCTATTGCGCAGAGATGGAACAAACAATATATTTAATTCTTGTGCGAAATCAGAGATTTTTTATCAATTCCTTTTGTCATTATCAACTTGTTGTGCAATACATACAATGTGCAATACCACATAAATAGAAACAATTTTGGCATAGTAAATTTTTTGGTCAAGCGTGAGTTGTCCATAAAAATGAACAAATTGATAAAAAAATGTTATTACTTCTAATCGACTCGGTTTTATGTAGGGATTATTTCATTGTATGGGAAGAAAAAACCGGGACAAATTTGATAAAATAATTTTTCATACAAAATGAACTACATTGACACTTTTTTAGCGACTATTTATAATTTTTTTTTAGTTTGTTTGTAATGAGGAGTTTAAAAAAAGCCGTCACCGCCGTAACTTAGAGCTGTAAAAAAAATACCACTTAGCTTTGCTGCGTATTATACTATTGCTTACTGTTAAATTACGGTAATGTGATTAGTTGATTACGGTTTTGTTTCGTGTTTTAACCGACTTCAAAAAAGGAGGAGGTTCTCAATTCGACTGTATGTTTTTTTTTGCATGTATGTTACGCGATAACTCCGGTATTTGTGAACCGAATTTCATGATTCTTTTGTTGTTGGAAAGGGTGTACTACCATAGTGGTCTCATTTCATTTAGAAGAAAATCATCCACCTCGAATGGTGGCTGCTCAAGCATGAAGATTCATTTTTATAAATAGCGCCTAACTTTAATTTAGGAGCAATTACTTTAATGGTTGATTTTGCTGTTTCTCCAATTCAAGGCGTTTTTCTCTCAATATACTTTGAGTAGTGTCGTAGTGAGAACCTATTTTTATTATCTCCAGTGTCATGTGCTGTATAGTGGCGAACTAGGGGATATTCCAATAAAACTTAGCAAATAGACGTAATTCCACGTAATGTTGAGGTCGGTTTTTTAGTACTCTGTACTGAGATTATGATTGTATGTACTAGCAACAATGGCCAAAAAGGTTAACCAAGAAATTCTTAATACTTTTTGCTGTATATTTTATTTAATCGTAACATCGCTTGTGATGTAAAAATATTTTATTCGACAAAAGCATTGTTCAGATTATGCGACAAAAAAATGATTGTCGAAGAATTTAAACTTACCTAAGGGCATCAGTGCCACACTCGGGTATACCATTTGGGTAGTCCTGTTTCTGTCCAGCTTTAGCCTTCTCGAACTCACGTGGGTCCAAATTGGAATCTAGCAACTGCGCATGGAGTTCTTCCAAAGTCACCCCTCTGACTACGTCCACAGGGTCTATAACGTTGCCGAGAGACTTGGACATTTTTCGTCCGTGTGCATCGCGCACCATTGGATGCAGGTACACTTCTCTGTTTGCCAAAAATAAGTATGTAAATATAACAGTGCGTCATTAAAATAGTTCGTGTAGTTGGTTTATTCGCTAAATCAATTGCTGTAGTTATTATTATTTTAGAGCAGGCACACTGGAATGGAGTTGTAACATCGAATATATAACCAGAAATAGAGACGAAATGTCCTTTAATTTGTTTGGAAATAATTCTGCCAAATCATTACGGTGACAACTGCGCTCCGATTGGCCAGCCCGAATTCGAAACAATTGACGGGTGTTGTCAATTGTTTCATTTCAAAACGACCAGTTTAACTTAAGCTTTGCTATAATGGACGAAAATTGATAAATTACATGTTTTATTTAATTACCTATGATATTTGATTCCGTTTGTTTTGTAATTAGATGCTTTGCTGTTTTTCCCACACCACCGAAGGGATATCCTCCCATTGTTACAGATATTATCTTTGTTACAATAAATACAGAATATTTTTGGAATATACGGAGACGTACACACAGGTCATTTGTTGGCGCTGTACTATTTCAGTTTTCTAATTTGTAATTTCAACGCAAACGGAAGTTGATTTAAAAATGATATAAGGCTCATTTGCCTGATGAGTTGCCAGGGATGGGTGGCCCTTATTTCGTCTCTATTTCTTGTTATATACTCGATAGCCCTAAATGACACAAACCGTAAAACCAGTAACAAGTTAACGCCTGATAATTTAGTTTCGATGACAACTAAAAATCATTACGATGACAACTGCGCTCCGATTGGCCAGCCCGAATTCGAAACAATTTGATGGGTGTCGTCAATTGTTTCACTTCAAATCGAATAGTTTAACCTGAGCTTTGCTATAATAGACGAAAATTTAAAAATTACAAACATTACCGATGAAATGTTATTCCGTTTGTTTTGTATTTAGATGTTTTACTGTTTTTCCCACACCACCGAATGGAACAGCCTCCCATAGTTAGAGACATTATCTTTATTACAATAAATACAGAATATTTTCGGAGACGTACTCTCAAACCGGAGCACTTACTTAAATGGAAGTTTTCCCATAAGTCTCTGTCCGAAGAACACCATTCTTGCTACCCAAAAGAAGAGAATATCGTGTCCTGTTTCTAACAATGTACCGGGGTAGAATGCCTGCAAAAGAAATATGAATTATACGTACCCGAAAACAGCGAGAGAAATTAATTAAGGTTACTTAAGCTAGGTACAGTTATGGCGCAAATTACGTCTTCGAATTAACATTCTTTTTTCTACATTTCGTAATTGATAGATTCAGGCGTTACTTCTGGGAAGTCCATGTTAATAAAAATGGAAGTAAATTAATTCGCTACTCCGCGAACCCAGTGAAGGTTATATCGTGCAAAATATGTTGAATATTTTTTCATGCACTCAATTTTCCCACCCTCCCTCCGCATAAAACTAATAAAACAAATAACGCAAGCGCAACTTACAGCGGTATATTTTTGGTGGTGGTGTCTGTGAGTGTAGTTGCGCTTGTGTTTATTTTATGTAGTAGCAAATTAATTTACTTCCATTTTTATTTTACATTTCGCACCTTCTTTCACAATCTATCGAACTGGCAACCTGCAAATGTCGTTTTACTCCGTCTTCAAAACAAGACAGACTATAAGAATGTGAAAGAAAATTGACAGGTGGTGGGCAGCTATGAAGCTTTTCAAACAAATAACATATATGGTAAAAGGACAAAGGACTGTTTACTTCCGATATTATTTAACCGTCTTCCGTTACACTTAAAAGGTATTTATAGAAAGAAAGAAATCTTTAATTAGACCTATATTTAAGCAGGGAAACCACATGGAATACACTAACTATAGGCCTATAGCTATCTTGTCAGTTATAGATAAAATAGTTGAAAAAATTGTTGTTGGACAAATAAATAAGTTTTTGGAACGTTATAATATAATTTCAAATTCACAACATGGTTTTAGAAAAAATAGAAGTACTAGCACCGCGCTAATACAGTTTTCAGATTTCATCAATGAAAACTTAGATTGTGGTAAACAAGTAGTTGCATTGTTCATAGACTATAAAAAAGCCTTTGACACCCTCGACCATGAAGTGTTACTTAAAGCGATGGATGAGTGTGGTATTAGAGGTCCCACCAATAACTTTTTCAAGAATTATTTATCTAACAGAACATTGCGTGTTTCTGTTGATGGTGTGGTTGGTGAGGAGGCCAAGGTTCAGTTGGGTGTTCCGACTGGATCTGTATTCGGCCCAATTGGATACATAATGCATGTAAATAGTGTAGCAAATGTTGTCCAAAAGTGCCATGTACTAATGTATGCAGATGACATGTGTTTATGTTATGCCTCAAAGAATGTGTCAGAGATTCAGGAAAATATTCAAGTCGATTTAGAGAATGTTACAAAATGGGCACACGATAACGGTATTATTATCAATATGGCAAAAACTAAATGCGTGCACATTCATTCACCTTACAATGTGCAGGCAAAAAAAGTTACTTCTAATATGATTTCCATTGTAGGACACAATTATGAATGTTTACATAAAAATAAAATAGGATGTAATTGTAGTAATTTAGAATATGTTGAGCACTTTAAATATTTAGGTTTAATTGTTGAGCGTAATTTTAATTGGAAGATGCATGTAAGTGAACTATGTATGAAGTTAAATAGAATTCTAAGTAGATTTTTTCATTTAAAATATGTATTAAGCAAGAAAACAATGTACATGGTATATTATGCGCTGGCAGACTCTTTGGTTAGCTATGGATTAAGCATATATGGTCAGACATATGCCACTTATCTAAAAGATATTAAAAAAATACAAATTAGACTATTGAAGCATCTAGTATGTGACAAAATTAAAGAAAAATGTAAGGATACAGGTTACAATGATTTATTTCGTTACTGCAAAGTCATGCCAATAGAAGATAAAACTAAACATATGATTGTGTTAGAAAATTATTATAGCAATAATTTTAAAGTAAAACTTCACAATAAATATGTGACCAGAAGTGTAAGGCAAGGTAAATTAGTTCAGGTTAATACAAATAATTCATACGGAAGAAGATGTACCCGTTTTTTAGTTCCCAAAATTTTTAATGAAATAGACTGGTTGAGGGATGAAAATAAACTAGGCAAATATTTATTAAAGCGTAAGCTAAAAAATTTTCTCTTAGGTTTAAGCTATAAATAGGTATAAGTATGGAGGAGTGGATGAAGTTGTGGTAGAATATTATATGTATATGTATATGTAGAGTGCACATGTCACCAACAAACTGCTGCGCAGTTTGGTGACTTACATATAGGTTAAATTAATTGTAATGTTTTTGAATAATAAATAAAATTAAATTAAATTATTGAGGCTAGTGAAAAGTCTGTCAAGTCTGCAAAATGCAGGCAAATATTGAAAACTGTGGTTGGGTGACTGAATGAAATGTTCACGTAACTGTAATATTAAGCATTGCAACTAAACTCCCCGATAAAGTTTTGTGAAGTATGGGAGAACTTTATCTCTAGTTATTGTAAGGATTATAAATAATAAAAGTAATATAGCCTTCTTCGTATCAAATGTTATATTTGGCACCAGTCAATTAACATATATGTCTGGTGTTATGTAGATAGATAGATAAACATTTTATTCACTAATATGACAAAAGCACAGATTAAATATAAAATGAAAAATAGCGAAACATTTTTGTCATAGCAATGAAAGGGTGTGACTCAGCATATCGTCGCCTTACTTCTCAAACTCGTATCTTAAAGTACAAAGTTACTGAAATGCAAAAAATGGATTGTATATACAAATTTTGCTGACTGATTTCACGTCACATTTCCTTCATATTCACACACTGGCTTTTAGTTATTCTTAAAGTAATGGATCCCAATTAACACCCTTGATAAGAAATTTCAAATAAATAGAAAGTTTTATTAGATATGAGTACAAGTTAGATATGAGTTTAAGAAAGTAAGGCGATGATATGTCTAAGTGCTCTAAGGCGCTGGTTTTCAGTTAGAACCAAAGAGAGGATTTAAATGTAGAAGTTACTTGTAAGCAAAAGTAAAAATGACTGAGTAAAACAATTCATTCAAGTTATATATATACATATTTAATGCATGTATTCATAGCCCCGCAGTAGGGAAACCCTGTGTCATGGGTGCCATGGACATACACACAGACAATCACAAATGACATCAAAACTTACGACATAAATGTAAGTGAAATATTTCTCCCGGCCGGAATCGAATCCGTGACATCTGCATGGTAGACCAGCATGGTAATCGTTCGGCCACGAAGGTTACCAGTTAGTCTTTTAAGATACAATAATTAAATAGGCTTTCTAGCAGCGCGTCAGCGAAAATTGTGTCCTTAACGTAGCTGCTGTTTATCATGCTATTTTCATTGTGATTTTTGGGTAGTTGAAAGAAGAATATCTTTGAACAAATGTTAACAGAAAACTCACTTGTAAATCTTCCGTGTTATCCGGCCATCCAAATATAGAAAAGGTAAACAATCCAGAAGAAAACCAGGTGTCCAGAACATCTTCGTCCCTGTTAAGCGTGATTTCTTCTTTGGTGATGTTGAACTTGGCAGCTGCCTTGACGAGAGCCTCGTCTTCTGTGTGTGCTGACACCCAGAGTTCGTCTTCTGACTAGAGATGAGAGGGAGAGATTAGATTGCAGTTGAAAGTGGCAGTTTAAAAAACTTTCTGAGACAAATTGTTTGATTGAACAATGATTGTGATTTCATGTTTTATTTATTATTTTAGTGATTTCCAAACTTGAATTGCTTATACATAGTAGTAACAAAAAAAGACGGAACAATAGAAATGTTAATATATAAATGAAAACTTCATGCAGAAGACACAGCACAAACCAGTCAATGTACAGTCTAGACGCCATTCTACTATGCAAGAACCAATGTTACGTATATAAGATCAAGAATGTGTAATATCGGTAAAAGCAACGAGTAAGTAGCATTGCTTGCATATAGAATTTATAATAATTCTTGATAATTCTAGGGTCAGCTGACTAAAGCACATAAGCCAAAAAAGTGATTTAATTTTTAATATATAACAATTTTTTTGTTTTGTTTATAATATTGGAAGAATGAAGAGAATGATAAATTTGAAAAAGACGCCACTACAATTTAAGTTACAAAAAAATGAAGTAACAAACGAATTTGACGTATATGCTTTAGTCCACTGACCCTAGAATTTCGAACTGTGGTTTAAGTTATATCTTAAGAAAAGTTACGAGTTTTAATAAGCAATTTGTATCAATAAAAATGTATGTAGTTATCAGTAACAAATTATATTTGTCAGTATGCACATTCAGCATGAAAAGCAGCTGGTCAGGTGAAAATCTTTATATACAAATTACAGCAAATGAAAATGTTTTTTTAACTTATATCGAGGCATATTTAGTTATTTTGGACAATTTATGAAATAGTAATTCTGATGTTGTTTTTTAAGACAATGAATAAATAGTCTCATTATATTGTTGATTGAAATAAATTGCTAACATCTCTAAGACTAATAAAAATATAGCGCTGTCTCTTTCACCCTTTTAGAGAGTGAAAGGGATCGTAACAAAAATCAGCAAAAAATTAATCTTTCAACTCAAAGGTGGCGCCACGGCAAAAAAGCCAACACAAAGATCCGCAACAAGCAAATAGAGAAAATAGTGACATTAGCTGGCTCAATCCGTAGCTAAGTTGGCAGAGCGGTAGCCTCGTTGAGGCAACAGTCGCTGGTTTGAGTACAGTCGGATCAAAGGAATTCTTGTTTGTGTTGTTCGATCTTTGTATCAATAATAATAACAAACTATTTATTTTTGTTATTAGTAGTATTTCTTTTTTAAAAAAAAGATGAATAACATGGTAGTAATAAATAACATCATGATATTCAATAAAAATATTAATCAAACTATGTTATGTTATTTGCATGCAAGAGAAATGCAGGGCAACACACACAATGAGTTGGTGAGGGCGCAACATACAAAAGTACCGCGCGAGATAGACGCGCGTGCGCGGCAGCGGATGCGCGCGCTCTTCTTGCGGCCGGACCGCGTGCGCCGACGCCGCGGGGCCGACTTGCTTACGCCGATCGACGGTTCCTCCTTTTCGTAAGCGGGAAATAACAAATCGCATCTTCAATAAAAAAGTGCCGCAATGCGAAAAGTAACGTAAAAAAGTTTTGAAACACTGCTAAATAGACATTGAGTTCTTAGGCTTTCGCGATTGGTGCACAAGGGAAATTATTTTTCGGATCCAAATCGCGTACATTTGGAACTAACAAGTCGTGCTCCTGATGTTAAGCAGTGCCACTCAGTTTAAATCACAAAGATCTGAGGGGCACTGCCACTGCGCCCGTCACCCTGAGACATACGTTGACAAGGCTCATGTGCCAGTAATTTCACCAGCACCCTTACTATTAAAAGCCCGGAACACAGTGATGCTCACGGCATTATTACACTATTAAAATTAAGTAACAATGTATGTATAAGTTATACCATTCATATTTATTTATTTATTAATTGTCTAAATTATGACATTCACCACATAAAAACCAAAGGTGTAAGAAAAAGTTATAAAAAATGTGATTTTCAGTAATTTGCAAAAACTTGCTTGATCCATAGACACTTTTGATGTGTGTTAAAAAAAATAACGTACATTTCACCAGACATGCGTACCATTTGTCTTTATGTGCCAAATATGTCAAAATTGTATTTGCTATGGTTAACAACATTTTAAGTTTTTATTGAATTGATATTCAATTATTTTTTGTGAAATTATTCCACTAGTTTGTTATGATTATTAATACAAAGATCGAATACTCAGAAAAAATTCCTTCGATCCGGCCGGATGCGAACCGAGATTCCTCATAGATGGCGCTACGACTAAAAAGTCGTTGAAAAAACCAAATACAAAGATACGACGCAAGCACATAGAAAAATTAGTTGCTTAGTTGCTATTGCGTCTGGGACGGTAAGCTAGAAGACGTCGGTTCGAATCCGGCCGGATCGAGGGATTTTTTCTGAATGTTCGTTTTTTGTATTAATAATTATAACAACGACATTTTAGTTTTTCGTACGTTAATTTTATTATTATTATATTAGTTTCCCAAAAATGTTACTTCTCGAATTAAGCCACTTTATAATTGAGACTGCCAAATATATCACATCTTTGTTTAACATAAACTTAAGTTACGTTGATATTGATGAAAGTCACTCTATACGTTGTCACATTTGAGATAATATTATACAAATTTGACAAACAAAAATTATTTATCGTCAAAATTTCATTTTGTATTGTTGAGCAGCAACATCGAGTATATAACCAGAAATAGAGAGGAAACGTCACTTAATTTGTTTGAAAACTATTCTGCCATATCATTACGGTGACAACTGCGCTCCCATTGACCAGCCCGATTCGAAACAATTGACGAAAATAGACATTGTCCTTGGGTGCACATTGGTCATATTAACATTATCATATTAATTTTTTTCTCAGCAGGATCTGATCTAAATCAGGCACAATTAAGGTCAACAACTTACCTCTTCCCGTTCTTCTGGCAACGTCACTTTATATGCAGGAATACGATGCCCCCACCATAGCTGTCTCGAAATGCACCAATCGCGGATATTCTCCATCCAACGATACCAGATCTTCTCGTGCACATCTGGGATGATTTTGAGTTCGCCCGTTTTGACAGCTTTTATTGCATCCGCTGCCATTTTGTCGCAACGAATGTACCTGGCATTAAATAATAATAATGAAGTAATTAAATATTCTTCATTGTACTTTAAAATATTACAATGACAACACAGAACAGTAATGTATGTATCACAGAAAAAGCTAATGTACAACCATTGAGTATATAACCAGAAACAGAGACGAAATGTCATTTAATTTGTTTGAAAACTATTCTGCCAAATCACTACGGTGACAATTGCGATTGGTCAGCCCGAATTCGAAACAATTGACGGGTGTCGTCAAGTGTTTCACTTCAAATCGAATAGTTTAACGTGAGCATTGCTATAATGAACGGAAATTGCAAAATTACATGTTTAATATTTAATTACCGATAAAATGCGATTCCGTTTGTTTTGTAATTAGATGTTTTACTGTTTTTCCCACACCTCCGAATGGAACAGCCCCCCATTTTTAGAGATATTATATTTATTACAATAAATACAGAATATTTTTGAAATATACGGAGACGTACACACAGGTCAGTTATTGGCGATGTACTATTTCAGTTTTCTAATTTATGATTTCAACGCAAAACGAAAGTTGATATTTAAAAGTGATACAAGGCCCATATGCCTGATGATTTGCCAGGGATGGGTCTCTATTTCTAGTTATATACTCGATGTGTACCACAATTACCGTGATAAAGTGGACATACAAATTAATTGCAATCAACTGACGTTATTACCATAATATAAACACCCTGTCACATAGTCTTTCTTATTTCTCTGTAATACTTTTGCTTGTATTCTTTTATCATGTAGAGTGGTTGGAATTACTGTATTTGTAAATTAAGTCAAAGACCAGCCAGTGGAAGACGTAGGGTGTAATACAGTTTTATTTAAAACTAGTAAGAGCGCAATTTAATCAAATTTTAAAATGTTCCTCAGATAATAATGTCACGTAATTTTAAGATACCATGCAATTGTATTGCCTCAATGAAGATTTATTATTATTATCATACAATAATACAAATAATGGTAACTTTATACAACGTAGCAGCGCGCTTTGTATGTGTGCGTACCTGACACGCGGTACACGGCACAAGTATGCACACATTTGTATAATCACGTGATAAATTCACGTTGCATAGCGCTGGTGGTCTGACGCGCTTTTCATTATTATGCGAATGTGTGTGTGTTTCAATGGAGTTACCATACTTGTCTTATACTATGGTATTACTTCATGGCTGGCTGCACAAATTGATAGCGAATAGTTAATAGGCCAGTTTTATCAATCAATCATAGGATGCTGGAGTGATAAGAGTGTTTCCCTCAACGTCTCCCTTATTCATATCGAGTTCTTAAGTTTTCGCGATTGTTACACATAGAAAATGAAACTATTTTTCCGGATTTAAATCGAAGCGAAGTATTTGTACCCGCGTCAAAGAACATACAGCTGATGTCAAACACAGTCGCGTAAACAAGTCTGCAGTCTGCGAGCATGTCATGGATAAACCTACACATTCAATGAAGTTTGATAAACCCCAGGTCCTTGCAAAAGAAGTCCGTTATCTACACAGGACGCTGCGACATGCCACTGCAATTAAAAAACATCCTAATTTCAACAGGGAAGATGGTTTCTTCGTACCACCAGTTTGGGATCTAGTATTTCCTCTGATGAAAAATCCCAAACAGACATAAGACTGCAGTACTAATTAATATGTTTTAATTTATTCTAATTTCTATTATAAATTAATAATAAATTTAAATTAATAAAAAATCATTGAATAAAATCATTCATAAAACGTAATGTAGCGTAAATTGGAATATTTCTTTGTAAATAAATAACTTTTGTAACTATAGTGAAAAAATAGGGTGGTATGCTCATATTAGACATAACTGATTGATGACTGTACCGCCTCAGTCAACCGTGACCATGGGACTTGTAAAGGGCCGGAAACGTTGGTTTGTTTGAAAAAACAATTACACGCGATTTAAATCCGGAAAAATACTTTCATTTCCTATGTCTCCCTTATTGTTATATTCCGACACAATTATATAAAAAAGTCTGCTTGGTCGCCGAGATTGTCCTGGGAAAATAAGGTTACTATATAGCATTTTTATCTGTACATTTCAAATAAAACTTTCCATTTAAAAAATCGGATATCAAAAGTTCTTGTAAGTGCATCCATTTGCCAAGTTTTTTTGAAATCGGTTACCGGAAAGTACGCGATACCGGATTCTTCCCCTAGTCTGCCACGATTTTCTTCAAATATAAAGTTTGATCAATACTGAGGTACCCTCTTTCCAAATAAAAAATAATAATCGAAATCGGTTTACAAATGAGTAAACGCGTACCAAAAAAAAACACCGTCTAATTGCGAACTTTCTCCTTTTTTCAAGTCGGTTAAAAAACTTACCATTGGGGCTTAAGCATCGGTTCAATGATGTCTTTCGAGCGGCTGCACTGTGGGACGATCATCGCGTGTTCTTTTGTTTCGCGATATAACTTTTGTTGCTCCAACGTCTTTATTATTGCACGACGCACGTCGAAGCGTTTCATACCCTGTCACATAGAATTGATTCATATTATATAACACATGAGCTTCATCTATTCACGTGAACATTTTTTTTTTGGGTTTTGTTGAGACATACGCGAACAGAATGATAAAGAATTTAAAAAAAATAGATAGATTAACCTTTATTCACTAATATGACATAAATACAGATTAAACACAAAAGTAAAAATATACTTAAAGCGTCTGGCACGGTATGCTAGAAGACGTCGGTTCGAATCCGGCCGGATCGAGATCGGGAGTAATTTCACATAAAAAATAATTGAATATCAATTCAATAAAAATGTAAATACTTTTGAAATTTCGAATCGTTCTCTATTTCCTTTATATCTGCCTCCGTAGCCGAACGGTTACCATGCTGGACTGCCACGCAGAGGTCCCAGGTTCGATTCCCGGGCCGGGAGAAATATTTGTATGGCCTACATTTATTTCTCTCGTGAGTTTGGATGTAATTTGTGGTTGTGTATGTGTGTGTCCATGGCACTCGCGTACAGAGTTTCCATAGTGCGGGGCTATGTTGAGTGTGTGCGTTATTTATTATTATTTATCTTATAAATTCATGTGAACCGAGCCTTTATTTAACTTTCGCTAAGTCTAGGCCACAAGGGTAGGAACAATTTGCGAAAATCGACTTTTCCAAATTGGTTCTGGACCTCAATTCAGAACTCTTCGATAATTTAACAGAATCGTACGATTAGACATCGTTCTCGAATCGAAGGGCGCTTTTCGAGCTATTTTGAACATTCCGAGTTAAACGTTCGAATCGGATTCGGATACGAGGGTCTACTCTCGATCTCCGTCCGACATCCGTCCTAAACAATTACTGCCAAATAAGCAATATTTGACCAAATGAAAAGACGCGTGATGCGAATGAAGCTTCATACTGGATACTTGTCTTTTAATTTTGTCGAATATTATTATATGATTCGTAGTCCCGACGCCGGAGCCACAGGCGTGAACAACTAGGTTATGTGGAGATTTTGGAGCAGAAGCTGTAGTTTTGGAAAAACACAGATATTTTGTTTTGATGGTATTAAAGGTTTGCACTCAAAAAGCATTCTTCCCAAGTAGTATTATGAAAAATGATCGCCGTATCTTCTGCATAACATACTATATCTGCATTTCCCAGTTTTAACATACAAAGATCATTGAGATATATAAGAAACAAAGTCGGCCCGTATCGTACCCTGAGGTACTCCGAATGTCACTTCTCGAGTACTACTAAAAGTGCTTTTCACCTTAACTTGTTGTCTTCTACCTGCGAGATAACTATCGAACCAATTTAGCGCTGTACCACGCACACCCAACTTTTCCAGCTTTTTGAGAAGAATTGGAACAGCCACTGTATCAAAGGCCTTGGCTAAGTCAAGGAATACTCGTATACAGGGCTGTCTGCCATCCAGATACGATGATATTTTTTCGGTCAGAGTTCTAACAGCGCCCTCATTAGACTTCCCTCTTCTAAACCCAAACTGCTGGTTTAATAGCGTTCCCATACCTTCTACATACGACATTAATCTTTTATTAACGACTTTTTCCATGACTTTGGAGAGAGCAGGGAGCAGGGATATAAGCCGGTAATTATTGTAATCTGTACCGTCTCCTCCTTTGTGTATTGAGGTAATTGTTGCTATTTTAAAGGTATTAGAGACAACTCCAGATTCCATGCTTAGGTTGATGATATCTGTCAGTCGAGGCACTATACAGTTTTTGCCGTCTTTAATAAGTTTATTGTTAATTCTATCTATTCCAGGAGCACTGTCAGTTTTTAGGCTCTTTATTATAGATTCTATCTTGTAATAGTCAGTTGGATACAGGTGCAGGGAGCCCACCAGGGAGCTGGATGTATCAATTTTTCTTGTTAGGACGTCCAATGTCACTTCTAGTCTCTCCAATGTGCAGTAAGTTAGTGATCTTCCTATAGATGCAAAATGAGCATTAAGTGCATTTACCGATTCTTCCGGAGTTTCCTTTATATGTAACATTTTGGCTGACACGTTTGCTGTATTCTTCCTGCGAGTGATAGTATTTATTGTATTCCACAATTTTTTATTATCTTTCTGGTGCAGTTTTAATAAGTCACTGTTATATGAATTTTTAATTTTTCTTAGCAAATCTATATAGAAGTTTCTGTATCTGGTATAAATTATGTTATTTACATCATTCTTCGGCTCATTTCTTGCCTTTTCATGTAAATAGTCTCGAACCTCAGAATATCTTATCAAACCTCGATTCATCCAAGGCTTCAATATTACTATTTTTCGACGTATTTTGACTTTTGCAGAGCTAGATTCCATGATGTCACGGATGATATTAACAAAAGTATTAGTTTGATCCTCAACGTCCCTAACGCCTTGTAGTCTTGACCAGTCAATGTTATTTAGTGCGGAAATTACATTTTGTGATTATAGCGCATTTTGTTAATTGTAGGTTTGGATTGTGTTGTTACTTCATGCGTTAATCCGATGATTACAGTTCTGTGGTCAGTCACTGATGTGCAGATGATAACAGTTTCAGCACTAGTTTTTCCTTTTATGAATACGTGGTCAAGGAGAGCTTCATTTCGCGTGGGGTTATCAACAGCAGACAAAAATCCTAGTTCAGACATCATGCATACGTATTCAGTGGTATCAGTTGAATGATTTGTAGTATCCAGTATATTTATCTTCATGTCACCGGTGAATACAAAAATCAGATTTTTGTCGAGTCTCACAATTTCGTCATGGAGTGAATTTATAAAGGGATCAATATTCTTAAATAATGGAGACCTATAAATAGCTAAAACCGTGACATAATCTTTTATAACGATAGCTAAACAGTTGGATTCGTTCATGTCCGGTTCGATGCACTGTGGCGATAGGGTTTCTTTTACATAAGCAATAACACCACCAGGTTTGTTGATGAACTTTGTGGTATTAAATTGATAATAACCTTTTAATTGACCAATTGTTGAAGTTTCGTTTATCCAACATTCTGTAAAAATCATTATGTCAATATCTAATTTCAGTCTGTTTAGAAGTACCAAGAAATCGTCAAAGTTGTGATTGACGCTACGAATATTCAATGTCAATATTTTTGTGCTGTAGTGATCTACCAAAGTGCAACAGTCCTCAGCTTTGGCAATAGAACGGCAATTTATGAAACTCAATTCGTCTAAATCTTTAATAACAGTGTGTGTATTCATTATTAAGTAATAAAATATCGATAAGAAAAATTCTGAGAAAATGCCGTTCCATGTCCATTCCTGTGTACTGTTTAGATTCAGAGTCAATTTTATCTGGTGTAGTTTGTGTTGAGTGTTGTGTGAAATTGTTTTTGTGTAATTTCTGTGTGCATTGTTTGAATCTATGTTGTCTGAGTTGTATTTTAAAAATGTACTTAAATAAAAACAAAATGTATTTATAACTAATTAAATCAATTTCGTTGAGTGGTAGTTGGTCCCACCAGCTTTTTATATAATTCTTTATTGCACAAAGAAAAGACACATAAAACACACATTACAAAGGACATATACAAAGGTGAGCTTATCTCTAGAAGAGACCTCTTCCAGCCAACCCTAGCCGTGGTGTAAAAGTGAAGTCTGCGGGACTAATTATTGTACAATAAAATTAAAATTGAAATGTGACTAAAAAAATATATAAATGATGGTAATATACATGAGCTTTATAAACATAAATACATATATAAGCACAATATATATTATAATAACAAATTACTAATTTATATAAAATATGTTACCGATTAACTAACTAACGCGTTCGACAGGAAGTGCTCTTTTAATTTGTGTTTGAAAGTGTGACCGATGGACTGTCACGAATACCAGCAGGCAGTTTACATTGACAAGGCCGGGGATCGAACTCGGGACCTCAGAGATAGTGTCACTATGGAAACCGGTGTGCAAGCCACTCGACCACGGAAAACGTCAATTATTGTTACTTTTTATTAGTAATTTAGTTAATTAACTTAACTAAAAATAACTCACTGCAAAAGGTCCACAGTTGTCGAGCATCTTGCCCTCGTCGTCCAAGATGGTGATGAACGGCAGCTTGTGTCTTTTGCCGATCTCAAAGTCGTTAGGATCGTGCGCAGGAGTGATTTTGACAGCGCCTGTAATCAAAAGTTGCGGTGCGTTTGTAGGTATTAATTTGTGGGGTCATTACGACAATGATATTGTAAAAGAATGTAAGAATTTTGTAAATGTGTATACTGGCTGAATCAGCATTTTTTTTTATAATCGGTTCACAAAACTGGATACAAATTCTTAAATAAACTAAAAGTTATTGGTTAACCTTATAAGGTGAAAAGAGTGCATTCTTCTAGATGTGAACAAAACATTTTGTATTTTAAACAAAAAGTGGTTTAACAAAATTATTGTTAAACCACTTAAAATTTAGATATAAAATTTATAAAAAAGTTAAAACTCATTTAGTGTTGTTGAAAAAATAATATTTTTCAGTAAAAAAAAAAAAATTTTCCCGATATTTTTCATTTTTCTCACTTTTCGCTGTTTTCGAACACACGCTTGAACAAAAAGGGACTATGTCAAAATTGTTTTCACAAAAAAGACTTAAACACTAAAACTAAAACAGTATCCTTGCACCTTCTGTGGTTTCGGATTTAGGAAATTTAAATGGAACCACTTCCGAGACCTCCTCTTTCCAACATAAAAAGAATTATCAAAATCTGATCAGTTATCGCGTAACATACATAAAAAACATACAGTCGAATTGAGAACCTCCTCCTTTTTTTGGAAGTCGGTTAAAAACGATTCCCTATCGCTACTTTTGGATACTTTGTACTGCCAGTTGCCAGTTTTTACACAACCATTTTTACTTACCGGTTCCAAATTCCATGTCCACATATTCATCGGCTATGACTGGCAATTTCCTTTTTAATATCGGGTGCACTAAATTTTTGCCGATCATGTGTTTGTACCTGATGAAAAAGAAGTTATCTTATAACATAAGTGTTCTTCGTCACTTCTGCTATGAAACTAGTTTTTCGAATCTCAATTGCCCATATTTGTTTTTTCAAATCAACATTTCGGGCCCTTGTCTCAGATAGCCTTTACCATGTTATTTTTATTTTATGATACTAAATGTCGGGAGAAACAAGTCGTACATACATCTGCTTCCGTTTGTCAAATATCTAAAATTTGTTACTTATTCTTCTTACGGAAATCTGCGTCAAAAAGAGTAGTAGAGTTTAATCAATATCGTAGCGCAGTTGGCGGTACGGTAGCCACGTTGAGGCAACTGTTGCTGGTCGGAGTCTGTTCGATCTTTGTATCAATAAAGATATAATAGAGAATTGAGATATAAGTTTAAAGAGATTAACATTCTTATACTAACGTCACAGTATATTTATAAGAATGTTATTTTTTTTTTTTTGTGATAACTACACATAATTAATACGAAGAATACAAATAAACTAGCTGTTCACAAAATCTGAAATTCATTTAAGGGTCAATGTATACGCTTCTATAATAAGATTCCGATTGATGTTTTAAATTTGCCCTTTACGAGGTTGAAAACTATAATAAACACAGCTTCTCAAAATAAAAAAAATACAAAGAGCAACCTCTAGAGTGTCTTGCTCATTCTTCTCAGGAGAATCTGCCTTATGAATGAGCAGTAGAGTTTAAAATTATGACGCAAGCGCAATTTGCGTACCTAAGGAATAAAGATTATTTGACTTGTATAATAATAACAAAATAATGGAGTATTTTCACAAAAAGTAGATGAAAATCATTATAGTAAAAATATTATTGTAAACAACCTAACCTCCGGTTAAAAAAACCGACCTCAAAAGTCATTCATCCCCTAGTTTGCCACCCTTAGAGGTGGAATATTTTCTTGAAATTTAAATGGGACCACATCTGAGGTACCTTCTTTCCAACAAAAAAAGAATCATCAAAATTGGTTCACAAATGGCGGCGTTAACGCGTAACATACGTACAAAAAAAACATACAGACGAATTGAGAACTTCCTCCTTTTTTGAAGTAGGTTAAAATAGTGTTCAGTTAATTTCAAATGAAATTTGTTTACCTAAGAAACAAAGATTATTGGAATTTGTTTTCTTTTTTTTTATTTTGAAACATTACCTTAGGTCTTTAGGGTGCACAGCGACAGCCACATCACCCAACATGGTCTCAATTCGAGTGGTGGCTACGATTATTTCGTCATCTGAGTTCTCTGCTTTGTACGCAAAGTGCACTAGTACACCGAACTCTACCTGGGAAGAAATTTTACAAGAATGAATAGAAAAACGAGAGGGAGATGGTTGATAATGTTATTTTATGATATGACCTAACCTATAGTCTGTCTTTTTTTGGAGACGAGTAAAATGACATTTGCAGGGTTGCTAGTACATAATAATATAACAATATTGTGGGAACAACAACAGTGAATGATCAAAATCCCAATTTAATAAAATGGTTTTTTCTTACAATTTGTGACCAGAAACTAATGTTTCATTAAATATTTCATCTTGCTGTATCTTGCTACGCCTTTCAGGAGACCTTTAATGGTTTTAGACAAAGATATTTGGTGAATGTTATTTAAATGATAATCAAGTCAATTATCATTTAAACAATGCACCGTTATAACGTGTATAACGGTGCATCCATTATACATGAGTACGTACGATGATATGAGAAATTGTATGATTTTAAGTTTAGTCAAAGAGTTCGTATATATGTGCAGAAAATTTTGGGTGCCTTAAACGCGTTCTGTTACGGCTGATTCGTCACGGTTGATTTCCATACAAAATTAAATCAATATTTTCGCCACTGCGGCTTCTTTTATGTATATATTCCATTTCCAATAAAAAACTATTTTTTTCCGATTATCGCGTATACCAAAATTAACGCTTAAAGTCCAAAGATGATAAAAAAACGGTCAAATCTTTGCTCGAATTAATTGAAATTCAACGCTTGTTAAATGATTTGCGTACAAGTACTCAGACGATTGCGTTATTCTATTGTATGAAAAATACAACACTTTATTAAATTTGACCAACTTCTGCTGCCTCGATTTTTTCTTCCGATACAGTAACATGATCCTTACAAGAAACTGAGTCTAAAAAATGAGTAAATATTACACAATCTTATGGATAACTCACGCCTCACAAAATTTGAATATGCTAAAATTGTACTTTTAAAAACATAACCTATGATATATTAGGTTTTACTTTGGTGGTCATTTACCAAATGATTATCACTAATTACAGGTTTCTTACCACGGTGTTAATTCTTTTCATTTTCCCGATATTTTGGAACGGATACACGCTACATTTCATACAATTTCTTTTATTCTCGTCACTTCGGATCCTAGTTTTAAAAAAACACAATGTCCTTAAGAGGATTTGCATGCATAAATACCTTCTGGTCATATCCAGGCAAGGCCAACATAGTCCGTCCTTTTAACTCCAGCTTATCCACTTCAATCTCCGAAATAGCACTCTTCAATGCACATGACCAGTTAACCAATCGATTAGCTCTATAGATGTCTCCCGCTTCGTGCAATCGTATGAACGCTTCGTTGACGGCGCGGCACATTGACGGGTCCATGGTGAAGCGGGCGCGGGACCAGTCGTAGGATGAGCCTAGTGAACGGAGTTGCTCGTAGATACGGTCACCTTTTCTGTGTAGAAATGAAACTATTTTTAACCGACTTTAAATTCTTAATTCGGTTGTATGTTTATTTTGTATTTATTTTATATGTTACGCGATATCTCCGGCATTTGTTGATTTTGATGGTTCTTTTTTGTTGGAAAGAGGGTACCTCAGTAAATTCGAAGAAAACATTCCACCTCTAAGGGTGGCAAACTAGTTTCGCGCACTTTCCGGTAACCGATTTCAATAAAACTTGGCAAATAAATGTAATTCCAAGAACTTTTGACGTCGGTTATTCAAATGTTTTATGCCCCACCTATGTAAGTTGCCTATCATAGGTAGGGCACCAGATAGGGATGTTCACCCCTTCAGTTGTGAGGAAGAGGGATGTAGTCTAGGCTCTACTCTGTGAGTAGAATCACTGGCTGAGTGAATATAGTTTTGTATTTAGAATGTGTTTGAAAAAATGAAATAGAAAGAATAGAACATCTTGATAGTTCGTAATGTAACCCGAGGCTGAAAATATGTAGAAAAGTGCAATAAAGCAAGTTTTGAAGATTATCCCAGTTTATATTTACAAAAGTACCTCTTGCTACGCATCCTAAGCTACGCCCTAGCTTACAGTACACACATTGAGGTTATTTAGGGCCTTTTTAATTTTTTATGTCGTACGCCGATGGTAAGCGACACGCCTGTTCATAACAGTTGCAGTGCCACGCAAAGCTTTAAATCACAAAGATCTGAGGGGGCATTGCCACTGCGCCCGTCACCCTAAAACATAAGTTGATAAGTCCCATGTGCCTGTAATTTCGCCAGAACTCTCTTACCCTTACTAAAACGCAGTAATGCTTACATTACTGCTTGGCGGCAGAAATAGGTAAGGTGGCAGTACTTCCCTGGACGAACTCTTTCACAAGGAGCTCTACTGCTGCTTAATCTAAATTGCATATATTTGTCAAACAAACCAACGTTTCGAGCCCTTTACAGGTCATGGCTACCTGGTTCATTAGAAAAAAACTAATATACGCGCTTTGTTTTAAACCAAAAACAAAGATCGGCAACAAGCACTTAGAAAAATTCATAAGGCTCGCTGATTCGCTGGTTTGACCTACGTACTCCCAAACAGAGGTCGTGGGTTTGAATCCGGGATCGCACCTCTGAATTTTTCGGAATTTCTGTGCGAAATTTAATTTAATATTTACCATGATCTGTGAAGGAAAACATTCGTGATGAAACCAACACGTCGAAGAAGGTTCACAATACTCGGAAACCGTGATAAGGTATATGAATTTCATTCCTATCATGCGAATAATATAGAATTCACACAAAACCATTTGAATGAATAAATAAATAGCGCACACGCTCATAGCCTCGCACTAGAGAGACCCTGTGTCACGGGTCCGATGGAAATACACATAGACAACCACAAAATAAATGTAGGCGATCCAAATATTTCTCCCGGCCCAGGAATCGAACCCTGGACATCTGCGTGGCAGCCCAGCACGAGTTCGGCCACGAGGCAGTTGTTGTTTATGATAATAATAATAACGCACACACTCAACATAGCCCCGCACTAGGGAAACCCTGTATCGCGGGTGCCATGGACACACACGTAGACAACCACAAATTACACCCAAACTCACGAGAGAAATAAATGTAAGCCATACAAACATTTCTCCCGGCCCGGGAATCGAACCTGGGACCTCTGTGTGGCAGTCCGGCATGGTAACCGTTCGGCCACTGAGGCAGTCAAAAAAATGATGTTAGTAATATAATCGTACGAGGTTGCTAGTCAATTAAGTTTCTTTTGTGAAGGTAATAAAGATATTTTCATTTCATTTCATTTTCATTTCAAAGTGAACAGTGTTGTAAACCTTTGGTACAATGTTACTTACTCATTTTTCCAATGCCAAACACGCTTGATAAACTCCTCTCTGCCAAGTTCGTGTCTGGTCTTTTTCTCTTCGCGCCATATTTTCTTCTCCACCACAACTTGAGTAGCGATACCGGCGTGATCACAACCTGGGTTTAACAACGTCGTGCGGCCTGACATCCTGGATTAGATTATTGAAATTAACAGTAGTGTCACAGTTCTGTTTTCATACAAAAGCTATTGCTTTTACAGTCAACTACCGCTCGGTAGTCAACTGGTGGAGGTGAAGCGTGAACCGCTTTCAAACCCATGAAGAAGCATAATCATATAACATAAACATTTTTGCACAATACACTCATTTATTAGGCTCAATTATTATTGTATTGTTTTATAGTCACAAATTATTCTCTACTGTTGTGAAAACAGAGGTTGCAAACACTTTGCATTTTTACATAAATAGATAAGTTTTATTGCGTATTTATGTTAATAATGGGATAGAGTTGATTTAAAAAAGTTTATGTGTAATTAAATGTACTTAAAATATTTTTATAGGCTATATGTAATAGACATTAATAAAAGTTTTCATTGACAATAGGTGGTAAGATCCATTTTTAATGACAATCAGATACAACATACAACACTATAGTGCCGGCACGCTATGATGCTACGTTGAAGGAGCTAATTGCTGTACATTGTTGCCAACAGTAATGTGCAGTAAAATTTATGGAATGTGTAATTCTAAACACAACTCGGCATTTGTTTTTTAAAAATGAAATCTAATACGATCGTCACTTATGCAAAATAAAGCAGTTTCGAATTGACGACATATTAAGTAAATATTTTTATTTTCGATTTATTAATTTTTTTTTTAAATCTACCCCTTGCAATACTAGTTATAACTCTAAGAAACTTATAGACGTAATTCGCATTTCATTATATTTTTTTCGTTTATTGTAATCTGTCAAAACGGCAATCATAGCGTGCCTGTACTGTAGTAGTATTTATAACTATAAATAAGAATACAATACCTATTCCATCTTGTCAATGCATCTTCAACAGCATTGGTGAGAGCATGTCCTAGATGCAGCGTGCCTGTCACGTTGGGCGGTGGGATCACCATCACAAACTTGCCTTTTGGGTTTGGATCTAGGACGGATTTTCTCTGTAAAAACAAATATTTGGTTGATATTTTTCCATGTATTAGATGTTCAACATTGTTACATTCTAGTCTTAAAAAACAAGTATTCTGCCAGTTGTGTTTGACAACTTTTTTGTTGACAGCTATGGGCTGTTTAGTATTTATTGGAATATGCAAAATGTTATAATTATTAATACAAAGATCGAACGCTCAGAAAAAAATCCTTCGATCCAGCCGGATTCGAACTGACGTCTTCTAGCATACCGTCTAACGTCACGACTAGCGTAATGTCAAAGCTATACCAACTAAGCCACGGAACGAACCAGCGGACCTCACGAATTTTTGTATGTGCTTGCGTCGTATCTTTGTATTTGGTTTTTCAACGACTTTTTAGCCGTAGCGCCATCCATGAGAAATCTATGATATTTCGTCACCCAGTTAGATACCTTTACAGCTACCAACCCCGGCTAGGGATGTCGCTATTCGTTGTATTTAAATTTTTAATGAATTGATATTCAATTATTTTTACGTCAAATACTCCACTAGTTTGTTATAATTATTAATACAAAGATCGAACACTCAGAAAAAAATACTACGATACGGCCTTATTCGAACCGACGTCTTCTAGCATACCGTGCCAGACGCTAGACCAACTAAGCTTCTTTAACTTTTAAACTTTTTATTGAGTGTTCGATCTTTGTATTAATAATTATAACAAACTAGTGGAATAATTTCCATAAAAATAATTGAATATCAATTCAAAAATTTAAATATACAAAGTGTATTTATATCTCCCTCTGAAATTCCGAAATATATTGCATTTTATTCTACATTCAAAAACAAATATTACTCTCGTAGGTTCTCTCCAAGGCATAACTAGATGTTTTCAAATCACACCTTGATTACCTTGTCGAAGTACGGTGTTCACGTTCTAAAACGCATTTTAAAACATTACGAACAATAAACAAAATTATAAAACAACTTTACCGTTACCACTATATGACGCCAACCATAACCTTATACCAGAACACAAAATTAATGACTGTTTCATGAATGCATAAATATAATAATTCCGGTTTGGGAACTTCACCAGTACCTTCCAAACCAAGGTACTGGTGAAATTACCGGCACATGGGACTTATGTTGCAGGGTAACGGACGCAGTGGCAGTGCCCCTCATATCTTTTCGATTTAAAGCTCAGAGTGGCACTGCAACTGTTATGGATAGGCGTGTCGCTTACCATCAGGCGCAGGACTTGTTGGTCCCGTCCCGAAACATTTTAAACAAAAATGTTCACTTGCAAATAAATTTTACTAAACAAAATACATATTCATAAACATATAACCAAAAGACGTGCTAATGATGTATGTAATGTATGTTTGCAAATACCTGTTTGCAAAGTTTTGAGGTTTTTATTTTTATTTCTATATGTAATTGCCTTTAAAGTGTCACCATGGCAATTGATATGCAATACTTGATTAGGGCCTTGTTTTTTAAATTTTTCTTATTATACTAGAACACCAACATATTTAAGGTATACAAGTAAAATTTGTATACCTTGATTTGAATATTTTGTCAACACATACTCTTTTTTCTAAAATTTTCCTAAATATTCGAAAATAAATTGGCGTTGAAACAAATCGTCGCAAAGTTAAGACAAATATAGTCTACCTGCCTAACCCAAATAATGTAAATTTTTAATGTACTTCCTGAAAAGATCCATGACTTAAAAAATATTGTCTCGTCCTTGTGTCCATTTTCTATATATGTTCCTCGAAGTTTAGGTAAAAAAAACTCTTACCTATTCCAATCACTGCCTGATACTCTATGTGTATAACTGGATGTTTATATGTATAAATATACTCTGCCTGATCGCTGGTTACTGGCTATGAAGAACATTAACTTTAATCTAAACTATTGCATCAACACAAACTGGTACACATGTACATTCTGTTCTTTATCATTTTATCATAAATATTTTTTTTATGACTATTGTGATAGGCTGAACAAATTGTGCACCTCGTGGTAAGCATCACTCCTACCTATATAACAGTTGCCGTGGCACTCAGAACTTTTTGAATAGCAAAAATGTGGCACTATGCAGCAGTACCCTTAGTGCCCACTTACACGAGGAGAAAGTTTTGGCGCGGCCGGCCAGTTACCACGCCTTTACGTACGGACAATGGCACATCAGATAACACACTTTTGTTCGAAAATCGCCTCCAGTGGAATGGAGCGAGAACGTCAATGTGCAGCTTGATGTGCTGGCGTGTGTACAATAATGGCGATTTTGAATTCTATTTACTAAGCAACGTCATTTAAATTCCTCTGAATAATACAACGGCGCGGTCGCCGCGCGGGCTGCCGCGTAAACCAAATTCAAATCAGGCTTGCCTGTGACGCTCAATTAAGTTAAAACGTAAAAGCTAAACAAATAGTCAGTATTTTGCCATGACAGTTAGACGTAAGCGGTCGCTGCGCGGCGGTAACGCGGACGCCATTCGGCGACTAATCGAAAAAATGCTTACTTATCAAAATTGGTAACAGAAATTAGACCTGCTACTAAAAACTAGAACACCACATGATTTTATTAGAAAACTTATTTGACAGCGCTTACTCCATATTCTGGTTTGAAAAAGCCCTGCTTCTCCCACCAAGCATACCAGGCAGCTTCCACATACTTGGGGCTGTATGCATCCGGCATAGATCCTGCAATGTCCTTCTTGTCCCCTGGTGCCGTGTTACCTGTGTACACTGCACTTTCTTTTGTTTCTTTCGCTTTTTTCTAAAAATATAAAAAACAACAAGTCACGTTAGTAACCAATAGTAGATAGAATGTGAATAAAAGACACGATACCATTCAACGACGAGTGCTTTTCAAAGCATTGATCGGTGTTGATGAGGTGAAAGGTATGTGTCAGGATCAAGAAACAAGTGGAATGTGGTGGTGCCTGCTTACCCCAATGGGTAAAGGTTGTGAAGTATATGTATGCATGTACGTAAACAGCAGAAATAGTAAACATAATACTTAAGTTTTTGGATATTGTTATACATTGGAAATTAAACTGTTCATTTTTTAGATCTAAAATAATGTATGTATATTTGTTTTTTCAAATAAACTAAAATTGAGGGCTCTTTAAAAGTCCCATGGTCACTTCTCACTGACTTATTATGTATTAGGTAATCAGTGCTATTACTGATTACCTTCCTGATTCCATCCCATTATTGACCTACTCTGTCAACTATGGAATTTTTTGGAAAAAACCAATATATGTGATTTTAGAACCAAAGACAAAGTTTCATTTCCAATAATGTCAGGATTTAGGCAAAATTATTGAGTACCCATAGTTCCATTTCTTTAGGTACTTAACTAAATGTACACAATATTGAGATTGCTATTTAATGAAATATACATTTATAAAACGATTTTTACTTACCTTCATAATATACAAATACTTAGCTTCATATGAAATTGCATGCCTACATTTTTATACCTACTGATTTATAAACTATATGTTTCAATAAAAAGATGTATCAATATTGTTTACATTTAGTTAAGAATCTAAACAAATGGACTATACATGCTTCACTATTCCCTTCTAATCCTACCAATCAATACTTCACAGTATTCTAACAGGTTCCCAAAAAATATTGCTAGAAAAATCTCTGCAAAATGGTGAGGTCATAAAATTCTCAAAACTTATATGCATCTTAAGTAAAATTGTCCATGATCGAGAGAAATAGGCAAAGAGGGGAAGGAAGGCCTTTAGCCAACTGGGGGCATGATCGAGAGAAATAGGCAAAGAGGGGAAGGAAGGCCTTTAGCCTGGGGGCAAAACGGGCTTATAAAAAAACTCAAATTTGAGATTTCTATTAGCTAAAATTATAAGCTACAAAACAAACAATAAATTTGTAACATGTCATGGTGGTACTTGTGTACTATATGTAACAATGATGCAATGCCGCTGACAATTGCAATGTTGCTTTCACCGCCTTATGGTAGACCTATAATCTAACCTATGAACCAATCACCAGGTAAGGTCAGTTTCCTTTCACTTATTTACAGAAGATTTTACAATGTCCTTTAACAAAAATGCATAGTATATATGTAGTAAATCTTTGTGAATACAATGTAGTACTCGGAAACTAACCTCAAGTTTATCTTTCTGCACAGTTGGCGCTGTACTCTGCTTATCAAGTTTAGCCTTAAGTTTTTCCAACTTTGCGGCTTTCTTCGCCTCTTTCTCCAACTGTTTTGCAGTCTTCTCCACAGGTTGATCCTCTGAGGGACCATTCTGCTGCTCGTTGTCAGTCATGATTATATAGAAAAATCACGAAACTAAACTATTCACAGAAAATTATCACATTTGCAACCACGACGACGACAGAAAAACAGTGACTTTTCAAAATTCGTTTACAAATTTGTCTAAATTCGCGACAAATCAGTCGGTTGTAGTCAGACACTGTATGTAACAGACATACAGATTTTGTCAGACGGACTACAGACAAATATATTTGTGAGCGTGTGCATCAAGCATACTACTGGCAATACTGGTCGTCGTCGCCATTTTGTTTTTCAATTTTTGCTGGCCGCGTTCGAAGAGCGTTTGTGCTTTTTGTTTGAAAATTCTAAGAGTATTATTAGATTGAATTAGTGCTATTTGTTTTATTTCTGTCCTACAAATCGTCGTCGCAGTAATGTCGGATCGAGAGGTAATGTATTTCTATCTCGGTTGTTGATGGCGAATGCCGCGCTCAAGCCGCGTGTGTTTTATTTTTCGCATCTTCGATTCTATTTCTTAAGCGTCGGTTTGATTGGGCATTTCAGAGGAGTCGTTCACGGACGCGCAACGGATCACGTGAGGCGCCTCCGAAGCAGCCCGTGATGTCGCGAGGTCACAGCCGAAGCCGGTCGCGGACGCCGCCCCCGCCAAAAGCTACGGGCAGGAAATACCGCAGCCCGTGAGTATCTTCGAGGTCTTGATGACCTTCGACCGCTCATTACAGTTTAAAATTGTAGATATTTATCACCGAATAATAAACACTGGCCACACTTGCCAAATCGTGTTTTTATAACCTCCTCGCCAAGGACGGCGTGATAGCAACGGGTTGCGCAATAGTATTTGCAATTTTGCGATATTTACATTGTATACACGGTAACTACATTCTGTGTAATGGTTTTTTGATCGTAAAACAATTTTCAATTTTATTGTGTGCCACATTGGTCCACTGATAACAATTGTAATGTTGGCTGTGTACATAGTCATGGCCTAAATTGTTATTTGTACTATAATTTATCAATTATCCATAATCGTGTTATATTTACTACACTGACCTTAAAAACACATTTTGTGTAGGACATGTACTTTCATGTATTTTTCTTATCGGCTTATTGTTTGATCAATACACAACATCAACACAATTTACAATCATTGTAAAAGCATCGGCTATTGATCACACATTCTATCTACCTACCCGTAGCAAAACAATAGCACATACCTACATACTATAGGGTTATTTCTTTGATAATGATTACAAACAAATGAGACTTGATTAATGTTCCATAAAATTACAATTAGGAAGTGATATTATTATTTATAAATACCCTTGAAATTTGTTTTTGCATTAAAAATTAGCAAATTTACAGTTTGTGTTGTACACATGTTGTTATTGACTTGGGCATTTGTTAGTCATTTAATATATTCTTAGCTATGCCATAGACCATACATAGCATAAAATGTTTTATAGAACAAATTGATTACACATTCATCTACCTGAATATTCACTCACTGAATGTGACGTAAACTTATGAACCATAAATAATTTAGGATTATTTCCTTAATAATGATAACAAACAAATTAAATTTGATTAATATTCCAAAAAATTACACTTTGCAAGGAGTTCTTAATCATTTAAGTTAAAAGTAAGGTTATCAGTGTAAAAGTGGTGTAACCCAATGACTTATTTTTCTACAATATTACTTTAAATGATGAGTACATAATTATTTTATATTTGAATGCTATTTTTATGTATAAAAAAATTCATAATAATTATTATTACTACTTTAGAATTATTTCTTTGATAATGATTACAAACAAATGAGACTTGATTAATGTTTCATAAAATTACAATTGGGAAGTAATTATTATATAAATAATCTTGAAATTGGTTAAGCATTAACAATGAGCAAATTTACAATTTGTAGTGTACACATGTTGTTATTGACTTAGGAATTTTTTTCCTATGTAATATATCCATTGCTATGCCAGAGACCATAGATAGGGAAACATGTTTTATAGAAGTTGATTACACACTCAACTACCTGAATAATACTGAATGTGAAGGAAAATTATGAACCATAAATAATTTAGGTTTATTTCCTTAATACTTGGTGCAACGGGCTGGTATCCGCAACTCGACGACAAGGCGCCTATTTTGCGTGTGTTAATAATTATAACAAACAAATGAAATTTGATTAATATTCCAAAAAATTGTACTTTGGGAAGGGGTTCTCAAATGAGGCTATCGGTGTAAAAGTGGTGTAACCCATTTAATTTTTTTCTACAATATTATGTCAAATGATACTAAAGTACGTAATTATTTTATATTTGAATGCATTTTCATGTAAAAAAAATTAATTATATATTATTATTACCTATATGGTCATATATAGGGGTGGTAGTCATTATTACAATAGCAGATAATGTATTGCATCATTCTTACACAATTTATAACTAAATATCAAACAACTTTCTAAACTGCTGCAGACTTAGCATGAGCCCGAAGACAAAAGTTATCTTGAAGAAGAGATAACTCAATTTCAATGTCAATTTTCTTTAGAAAATGACGTCACTACGAATTATCTATAACCGTCTACAGGCGCGAGTCTAAGCGCTATGAAGTACATGTTGTCACGCATGCAAATGAAGAGAATTTCTCACTAACCATACGACAGTCAAACTTCACTACTTTTGACAGATCACCCTAGCAAAATATCTCTACTACTCTTGGGGCAGAAGACAAAATATATCTTTCTAATTTAAATTGAATAGTAATTTTATGCTAGGAGAGCGTTTTGTGCCTATGGTAATTATTTATTAAGTTATTACGAGGGAAAACTGGCACGAAAAAGACGAATGACGATATGCGAATTTTGAGAACCTCTCTCTGAGGCCGAGTTCCTCAGTAATTTCAAGGTCTCCTGAGAATTAATAGATTATTTGTGCCAGGAAGTAGATAAGGATCTAACTCCCCAAACTTCCATGGGTACCTATGTCTGTGAGGTTCAAAGTAAGTGAAGGAAAAGAAGACACACGTTTATTACCCAGAATTTGACCTGTAAATTTCGGTGACAAAGTTTATGAACATTTCACTTGAAAGAACAACAGACAATCAGTAAACATAAGATAGTTGTTTTTTGTCAAAATGCTCTTTCAATTCAACAAAAATATCATGATTTAAGTAACAAATATAGCTATACACCAAAATTAGTGTTAACAATATTTTCATTGATTTAATGCACACCATAAACCCTAAAAAACGTCACGGCGGAAATGAATGAAGGGAGTTGTGCCTCTAAAAACTATATTAATTTTTTTTTAAATTAATTTATTGCTGGCCATGGAAACAAAGTCCTTCAGCCGAAAACATAAAAATAAGTTTTTCTGTAAATATGGCCGCCACAAAGAGGATAGGCAATTTGAGGCGGCGTGTTTGGATTGACTCGGGATTCCTTAGAACGGGCCGATACGGGTATTTTAGTTCGAGATTCGTATAATTTCGCGTTTTAATCTTCGATTAAGGCACAATAGCACTATCCTATTCCACTTTAAAGATTTCACAAAGTAATTGAAAGTCAGAATAAAAACGACACTTTTCCCTCCAAAAGGTCCAGACCTCTAAAAACTATTTAGGTTTAGTGTGACCGCTATGAAAATGAAAGGTAATTTTAGTTGCGGCAACTCATTTATCTATACGTAGAGAAAACTTTGTCTACGGTAGAGAGTTTCTCTTCCTGTTAGGTCTTGCTCGGAATAGAGACATAATCGGTAGAGAAGAGAAAGATATCTCTACGCGCTTCATTTTTGCTGTTGTTATGCAATACAGCAAGTGTGCAATAGACAATGATGATGCTGCGATTTCAAAATTTGACGATTATAACCTTTGGTGCACAACATAGTTCTCTTTTAAGTTCTCATTTTATATTTTATTGTTATCCATTATCTTATTGTTATAAGTCACATATTCGAAACTATGACATTGTGTTTAACGTAATTGGAATAATGTCGATTTTAATATTTGTTATCGACAGGCAGTTAATATCAATCAATTTATATACGATTGGTACTGAAAATAGCCATTTTGTTTTGGTTTATTGGTTAATGGTTATATTCAACAACAACAATAGCTTTATAACAGTCACAGATCAGATTTCATTACGTCAACGCCATTATCCGCGATTGAACCACAAATAACAGGTTACTCAATCAGTGTTAGTTAAGTGAAAAGTTACATTTTACTAGGTTTTTTTTTTCCAGTTAAAATTCTAACAGTAAATGATATAATACGCCTCGTTTCAAAATAAATACAAAAGTAAGTACGCTCAAGAAAGTTTACAATAACAGTTATTAAAAAACCGCGTAACATTATTAATTATTACAAACAGTCCTTATTGCCACATCGAGTCATATATGATTACTATAAAATTATTTTTAAATTATTATAATTACTAATTTTAAATTGCTCATTATCGTCTATATGCATTTCATGGGGTTACACCACTTTTGCGTAATGATAGCCAGCCTCAAATAACCTTGGATTTGGTTGAACATTAACAATGAATAAATTTACGGTTTATATTGTACATATAATTATTATGTCCTAACGGAGTCCTATTATCCCAAAAGTTATTTTGGCATATAATTGCCGAATAAACCTGTCTGTTGCCATTTATGAATAAATAGGGAAAATATGTACATTTATGTAGAGGATCTTATAAATGTTTCAGATTTCTTTTTCAAGCCAAATTCATATCTATTGAAGTTTATACAGGATTATTTTCCGTTACGCCTTTCCAGCGTCCTGTAGCGCTGGCTGGTTAGATTATACTATTTAATATTTAGAACTATATAAAAAAATAGAAAGTTGTGAAATGAACATCGGGTGAGTTCTGGACAAATCTTCAAAATTCGAAAATCTTCGAACGCTCACAGTAAATTTTAAATTATGATATTAGTACCTCTCTCTACGCTATAACCACGGCTACGCTCCCACAAGTGGTGGAGTCGCCGAGTACTTGTGGGAACGTAGCCGTTAACCTCTCGCCTAAAGTGAAATCGGTTTCAGCCGGTCGTGTATATGGTTTTCCGTATACAATAAAGGATGAGTTAAATAGGTACTGTAAGTTTGCCTATCATAGGTAGGGCAAGATCTTACAGTACATATTTAACTTATCCCTTATTGTTATACGGAAAACCATATAAACGACCAGCTGAAACCGATTTCACTTAGGCGAGAGGTAAAGAACCTTAGGTGCCATATGGTTATTTTGACTACAAAACGTCAGTGAGAATGAAGTTCGTAATTAGGTATTTAAAATGAATCTTAATGTCAAATAAAGTATGTTAAATAAATAAAAATGACTAGCACTTACACCTTTAAGCACTTTGTCTTGCGTGATTTTGAACAATCTAAAGCAATGTTGTAAAAACATCTAAATTCCAGAATATGAACTTAATATCTTTTACATCTCACAAACTCAAACAATCTTCATTTCATTGGTAACCAAATTACACTGTAAATCGTAACATTGAATAAATTCTACTGCTCATTCGTATGGCAATTTCCTCTGAGAACAATGTGTAAGAAATTTAAAAAAAAGAAATAAACAAATTGTACTGTAATTGTTGTTTATTATTTCTATATAAAAGTACATTTTTTTGATTAATAAAGGGTACAAGGGTAACATTAATAATTAATGGAAAACAATATCAGTCAAATGGCCGCCATATTCTTTTCATGAAATGTTCCATTGCCAATTCGCACATTTGCGGTTGTATGTCCTCGATAACTTCACGAATTCCATCTTTGAGGTCTTGAATCGATTGTGGGCCATTGGCGTAGACCTTATCTTTCACTTAGCCTCAAAGTCCAAACGTGTTAAATCACAAGTTCTCGGTGGCCAATTGTGAGCGCCTCTTCGAGAAATCACACTGTCAGGAAACTTTTCACGCAAAAGAGCGATGATACCGTTACTTTTCGTATCAAAATGAAACTTCTCATTGGAAGACCCTTTATTTTTACGTAATTGTATTTCTAATAACTTTAACGCTTACTACTTTTCCGAGCAGACATTTCCGTATTGATCGAGAATAAGATAACGCTTCGATTAACGCGTGCTTTTGGCGTGCTTTTGACTTCCATTTGCGATCTTTTCCACATGCTGTTTGCTGACAAGTTTACATATTTAACAATGCTTAAATCTACAGGTCTCCCGGGAGATCCCGGTCTCGCTCGGGATCGCCGCGACGTGGGTACCGCTCGTCGCGCTACTCGCGTTCTCGTTCTCGCTCGTACTCACCGCGCGGCTCCTATCGTCGCTCGCACTCCCACAGCCCTATGTCGTCGCGTCGCCGGCACATGGGCGATCGGGTATGTGAGGTTAATTATATTTTTTTTTACTTTTCACTCTCTCATCAGTTGGAATGAACTTCCGCTGCTAGACTTAAGTTTCAAGCAACAGTTCGCGAACAGGTAAAAGATCTTTATTATTCTCATTTGATGTCTTGTGGACAAACGTTGCCAAATATCAACCAAGAATGCAGAGCTAAGGTAAGTCGGACTCTACAGAACAGTATTGTCTTTGTACAAAAGGAAGAAAAGATTAAAGGGTTGCACAAAAGATAGCAAAATTAAGTGATATAATTAATATATTGAGTATTTTACTCAATATTAAAGTATAAATTAATAACCTAATGATAATGTCTAGCTTTGACCTTCCAAAACCACAATGCACAATATTTTCACATGTACAGCCATCAAATATTGTAAATTGTTGTGTCATGTGATTTGTGCTCATTGTTAATGCAAATGTTATGTCGGTGAAATAGAGCCCTAGGCTCGCCATATATTGTATTATATGTTTACTTGAAATTTCTTGGAAAATTTTCCTCTATGGAAAACCGATGATATTACAATAAATTATGGTAACCTGGTGCTGAAAGCAGAATGGTCTGTCTTCCCAACTTAACTCCCAACCTACTTACATACAGTAGACCTATGCTCACAAATCTGTGACTTCATGTTAATAATTTTAGAGGTTTTTCAACAATAATTCACGCAGCACCTCAGTCTGCGACTGACAATATTATTGGTGTATCGTCCGTTCTCACGCGTAGTCCCTACGCCCCGGTTCGCCATATCACTCTAAGACCGATTCACGTTACACCGTGCCGGGGCGCTGGCCGTGGCACAATAAAATATCTATATTATGCTTTTATATGAACTAATTCATGTGGGGCTGGTCATGTTACGGTCGGGCACGGATACGGCCGGGTTTGACACGAATTAGTTCATACAATAGCATAATTTAGATATTTGACTGGCGCCTGACCGGAACACTGTCCGGCCCCCACTGATTGTAACTTAAATCAGCCTTTATACTACTTGTTTTTTTGGACTTGATTCATAAGTACAAGCACATAATATAGAAAACATAGATGACATCTGCAAACTAGCTATTTTGATGTTAACACGTGGATGAAAATTAATACATAGAATTACAAGAATTATTCATCAAATAGTTTATTGACATAGCAACGACCCTCACGAGTGATGCTCGATTGAACAACTGTTCATTTACATTATTATTTTTACTTCACGATAAGGGTCTGCGACTTTAGACTTAATACCACGAGCTATAGAGACTGTATTTCTGTGTTTTCATTGCGAAACCTCGAGGTTAATTTACCAACAGGTTTCCCTTTTGCTATTTTTAAACTGTTCCATTGAATTTTTTATTTACGTATCACAAAACTGGATACAATTCTAAAATAAGGTAAAAGTGTTGATTAACACTTTTACCTTACTTTTTTACTTAACTTTTTTTGATACGAGTGGGTACAACTTGTTGTGAACACAATAATCCAATTTCGCCAGAAGAAATAGATTTCTCGTAGACGCTACGGCAAATTTGTCGTTAAAGAAAACCAAAATAAAGATCTGCAACAAGCCCAAAGTTAGCTGGTTCGTTCCGTGACGTGACAGTGACGGGACGAACAAGTCGTGCGCCTGTTCGTAAGCTACACTCCTGTCCATAACAGTTACAGTGTCACTCAGAGCTTTAAATTGCAAAGATTTAAGGGGCTCTACCACTGCGCCCGTCACCCTGAGACATAAGTTGACAAGTCGCATGTGCCTGTAATTTCACCAGCACCCTTACTTACCCTTCAAAACCGGAACACGGTAATGCCGATATAGTAATGGCTAACCTAACCATAAACGTAAACAATTTGGATTGCAGAACCGGTAACACTCTTTGCACCAGATTTTCGGAACGTTGCAAAGAATCAGACACCTTGTATGTGCTTGTTGTCGTGTCTTTGTATTTAATTTAGGTGATAAAACTTTCATAGATTTCTCATAGATGGCGCCGGAACACGGTAATGCCGATATAGTAATGGCTTGGCGGCAGAAATAATTAAATTGTCAGTACTTCCCCGGACGTACTCTTTCACAAGGAGCTCTACTAAAGCAAAAGTATAATAAATTATAATAACAATTTGAGAGTCGTGTAAGTGTCACGTGTGTATGATCACATGTGGAATGATATGATTTATGTTTTTACCTTCGAAAACTTTAGTATAATCTTAGTTTTTTTTTTAATATAGTGTTTATTGTTTATTTATTTGGCATCACAAATACAAGTTTGAGTAATTAAATTTATTTAAAAAACATTAAGGGTCGTATTCTAGAATTCTACTCGATGCTCAAGTCAAGATTGCAATGGAAACACAAGCACTGGAAATACGACCCTAATGGCAGGGACTTGAGTATGATTTCGAGTGCTTTAAACCATACTCAAATCCTGACTTGAGCATTGAGTAGAGTTCTAGAATACGACCCTAAGAACATTAACTAAATACATTTACCGTTGTTTTTATCCCCATCGTCATTATTGTTTTAACATCTGACAGTATACATTACTGACTCTGAGTATACATTTTGCAATAAACTACAACTAAATACCTACATATGCATAACTATAACGTTACAACTGTGGCCATACAGAAAATTCCTTGTAAGTAACTCTACCTTACGTTCAGGCATAACCATCTTCTATTCAACACGATCAAAATATTTGCTGCCAATATTTACGAAGTTTATTGTTCTGGTTATTATTTAGGTCTGCGTTAATTGGAATAAGCTGAACTAATCCATTGATACACGCCATGTCGATTCAACGCATTTTGCATGCTTGGACGGGTATATAATGATAATATACGATAATAAATAACTTAAAACAATAATAATGATCGAAGAATTGACAAACATACCACCTACATGTTCATTGTCGTTTTTCTTAGAGTTTACACAAACAAAAGCGGTTTGGAATCCATACACACTTTTGTTCCATAATTTACACAATTCAAATTGCTGAAGTACTTGGTTGTTGTTGTTTTTTCTATGGGCATTTTTCTTGTACTTGAAATTGTAGCAAGGGTGGTTTTATTGAACGTTTCAATTCAATCAAAATATTTGGAACGTTTAGGGTTACAGGTCCCATGGTCACGGTTGACTGATCATGGGACCTGAAAGGGCCCGAAACGTCGGTTTGCTTGAAAAAAAAAAACAAATATACGCGATTTAAATCGAAGAAAACTCGAAATATTATATTAATTACAGAAATTGATCCCTAAAGATTGGTCAGCGAGATTATGCATACGTGTGTTTAAAAACTAAAAAAGCCATTTTAGCCTAATTAATGGTTTCACTTTGTGTAATATCAAGGGACGGGACGAACAAGTGGTGCGCCTGGTTGTAAGCTACACGCCTGTCCATTACAGTTGCAATGCCACTCAGAGCTTTAGATCGCAAAGATCTGAAGGACACTGTCACTGCGCCCGTCACCCTGAAACATAAGGTGACAAGTCCCACCTACCTACCATTTCTAAAGCAGAGGCCGTGGGTTGGAATCCTGCTTCGCACCTCTTGAGTTTCTCGGAATTTTTGTGCGAAATTTAGTTTAAAGTTCATCATGAACTTTTCGGTGGAGGAATTCATTGTGATGAAACCTGCTGAACCCTCGCCCGAAACCTGTTTTTCGTTGATTATGATGATGTTTTTAAACTATAGTACTTTTGTAGGACATTATAATGGAATTTTGGAATTTTTTTAGTCCCTGGCTGCATATGAACTAAATAAGAGATACTAAACGTCCTTTGGTTCTGACTGGTCTTAAGGCGTAATGGCCTGCGCAAACCGGTGGATAGCGGGGGAGAGCATCTCTGCCGTCCGCTAACTAAAAGGCTAAGCGACAAAATAATTTTTTGAGAAATGATAAAACCCAGTTTTAGAATATTGAAATTGTTTAACGATTTCAGCTATGCATCGTTAGGACACGTTAACTAATTTTAACTGTTGTTAAAAGATAATTTTGTGCTCTGTCATTTGCTATTTAAAACGGCTATTTGACCATTTGTCACTTAGTGGATGGCAGATCTAAGAGGATTTTATGCCCGCCAACGCACACTGATAAGGGATATGTTTACAATGTCGCCAGCGTACCACAAAGTTCGCTGAAATGCCGCAACATCTGCCGACATGCCATCTGTCGTTCGGATTTGATTCCGTTCCTCTAGCGACTACGCGTCGAAAAATTCTCGGCGCGCCCAGGCAGACTCCCGCGCATACCTATGTATCTCTGCGCATCCCGCCACTGTATCAGCAGGTTTTTTGGAATAAAATGTAAAAAAGTAATATGGTTTAAATCTTTTAGTTTTTTGACTATATATATGACAGTCAATTTTGTCCATACATTTCAGACGAATTAGAGAAAACCGATTACTCCCACTAGTTCTGTTAATAGAACTACTGATCTTTTTCTTCTCATTTGTTTGTTAATATATACACACTACACTCTTTCTTCACTACACTCTTTACAGAACTACTTTGTATTGCTTCGTTATCTATCCAATTGAGTAAAAAAAGAATTCTACTTACGCCATTTTTACACAAAGAGTGCGTTATCATATCGCTTACTCACACAGGACCGTTCTAAACGTAGTGTAAATACATATAGTATCGTATAAAATATGATAAAATATAAAATACTAGCTGGTACCCGCGACTTCGTTCGTAGAAAGTACTTGAGTAGCCCACTGTACTACTTGAGAAATGATTGGTTCTCCATACAAACTTTCATATTCTACTTAACAACCTTTACGATTTTGTGACAAAAAGTAGCCTACGTCCTTCTCCTAGGTCCTAATTGTCTCTATACCAAAATTCGTTCAGCGGTGTAGGAAACAACAGACAGTTACTTTCGCATTCATAATATTTAGTATGATTAGTAGCACTAGAGATCCGCGTGCAAGAGTTCGGCCAGGGAATTACTACCACTTTACCTATTTCTACCGCCAAGCAGTAATGTTAGCATACTGCGTTCCGTTTTAAAGGGTAAGGGTGCTGGTGAAATTACAGGCACATGGTCAACTTATGTCTCAGGGTGACGAGCGCATTGGCAGTGCCCTTGAGATCTTTGCGATTTAAAGCTCTCAGTAGCACTGCAACTGTTATGGACAGGCGAGTAGCTTACCATCAGGCACAGGACTATTTCGTCGCGTCACTGATATTATTAAAAAAAGTATAAATGTTAGCATAAATTATAGATGAAGTCATCAAAAGATGATAAGGGTTTTTGTAGGTATATAGATTATCGGTCGACGTGACACAGCAAGCACCAGTTTTGAACTTAAAGCGGTTATAACAAAACTACCTGTTTGGATTGTTAATACTCCTACATTTTATGTAACTCCAGAGATGAAGGTCTTAAGAATGTATTCCAGAACTCTACTCAATGCTCAAGTCAGGATTTGAGCTTGAGTATGATTTCAAGCACTGGAAATAAGACCCTAATGGAAGGGACTTGAGTATGATTTCGAGTGCTTTAAACCATACTCAAATCCTGACTTGAGCATTGAGTAGAGTTCTAGAATACGACCCTTAAAGGCTTTTCTGACCGGCTCAAGGCGGTTATGTATCAATAAATGTTGTGAGAATGAAAATGGCTAGGGTAGACAACCTTACTCTAAAACAATTTCATCAAAAATCCGTTATTTCTCCTTTAACGTTTCCAAGGGATGGCAAACTCCTATATAAATTTTTGTTGACATGATTTGTATGCGTCTGTTCATGAAAAATATGTGAAAATATAGAGTTGAAATTCCTGAACAAATTTTGTTTTGGGTTGACTATTCTGAGAAGTCAGGAATTGAAGATAATCCAGTTTGAAGTTTAGGAGGTTATGTGTTACGTAATTGAATAAAATATATTTGGTATATTATTATATCAAAATAAATTACAGAAGCCTTAAACAGAGTTAATAGAAGCTGAATGCTGCCGTGGGTTTTGTGACGTGACGAAAGTTCTGATTTTGGGAACTTTTTTGGCAGTTTTACCATTTTCTCGCGTGGCATTTTGGAGAAATTAGCGACTTTTTTTTTTAAATTGGATAAACCAATACATTTCATAACTAAATGTGGACCATATTCGTACGTAGGTACTGAAATTCCTTTTTTTGGCGGCCAGATGTCGCTCCACGTTAAGAAACTAAGAAACTGATAGTTGTAGATATCAGTCCGGTTACATACTAATTAGTCATTACTTTATTTTAAATGTAATTTTATTTCCAGACTTAGATAGGCTGCTATTATAATTTGAAAAACCTAATGAATTTATTTTATTCAAACTTGTAATTAAGACATTTGAAGACGCTAACGAATTCCTTTAACTGTGATTTTGTTATTGTTCTTTGTTTGTCGTGGTGAATACCAAACGTGACAGTGCTTTTTATCGTTTTTTTCCAATTAAAATTCAAAATTTCCAAGAAAACATTCAATCCAAGGGCTACTATTACGATTTTGTCAAGAAGAGAGAGAAAAAGTTGTGAAGAACTTTGGCAGAAATGTAGTGTAGCCCTACCGATTTAGAAAAAATGCGTTGTGCCAGCTTTAAACGCTTATTAGTACACTACTCGATTTTCGTTGCTCGGCTTCAATACTCAATATATTTATTCCATTCATGTGGTAACATGATTGTCTTAAAATTAAAATACAGTCACACATATAACCCCTTTATTAGGGATAACAATCAGAGCAGAGGTAGGCCGAGGTTTCAATTGTTAATTAGAATTGTTATTTATCAAGTAATAATATAAAATAATTCTAAAATAATGCTCTTATGCGCTTTTTAATCCTACTAATTGATTTTATTTTTAACTTCTTACTGGCTAGCTAACTACGAGTAGCTCTGTTTTTGTATTTATAAGAAGGGACGGGGAAGGGTCAGTCCCTTCGAGACCATAGACGTTGCAATATGTCCGCAACGTCGAGATAAATAAAACACGTTTTATACGTGACTAAGTCCCGAATTAAAAGTCAAATGTGTGAAAATCGTGAAAGTTGAAATCAAATATCGTTTGTTATTACTTTACTTTGTTAAATGTCAACTTCCATACAACTCATGTTTTCACAAATAAATGAATTATTTACTCGTTTCTCTAATAAATGATATTTACTAGAGGATTTTCATGCCCCTAGTTATTACCATTAAAATTGACTACAATCTCTAGAGGAAAGAGTCCCAAGTTGAAAGCCATACAGCCGTAGCTGCTGATATGTAATTTTTTATTTTATCCAATTGTACGAGTATCAAACAGCAATATAAAACATTTACAACAAAATACTTTTTTTTCCGACAAACAATAATTATGTTGATAGATAAGGGGAAATTTTGACTACAAAAACAAGTTGGATGCCATGATTACCTGTATAGATAATAATACAGGTACGAAACAGGGTATTTTTGTAATCTTCGATGTGATTAGGAGTGATTAACTGATCAAAAAGATTCCTATGTGTGGTGTCACCATAACTGTACACAATTTATTATGAGGCAAACGGTACCGAAACAATTACTGCCAATTAAGTTTCGACTGAATTAAAATACACAAATAGACGCATGATGCGAATGAAGCTTCATACTTGATAATATCATCAAGATCAGTAAATAAATTAGTTTAGCCTGTGATACAATCATTGGTATCTCTAAAAAATTGGCCTAAGGTAAAACAAACTATTACGTATTATATATTATATTATATATTTGATACCATATATAAGCTTTGATAAAACGTGAAATCAAAAGATAAGAATTTTGGTATATATAGATCATCGATTGACGTTACATTTATTACTATACTACTAGCTCGCTTAGTGGCTTGAAAGTGGATATTTAAAAAAAAAAGTAACAGTCGAAAACTACCTGTTTGCTAATGATCACTTCTATTCCTCCTCCAAATATGGATAGTGAAGCTGGTCCTAAAGATTTAAGGGGTACATTACCTTCGGCGGCCACGGTTTTTCTCAATATTTTTAACTCGATCACATATATGAATCTCGGTGCTGCTGCTTTTTGTGGCTTCTTTACTGGGACCATAATTGTCACCGGACCACTTAAATCGCACGTATTTTTGTGCACATTTGGGGTAAGCTCAACCGAATTTTTTAACATTTTTATGTCAATGTTATTTTTTATTTAGTTGAAATCGTACAAATTCTTATTTCAAGTCGTAATTAATGGATTATCACACGACAAGTTAAGTAATGTTTGACTTATCGCATTTAATTGCGTCACTGGCCGAACGGTTACCATGCTGGACTGCCACGCAGAGGTCTCGGGTTCGATTCCCTCTAATTCTCCCGTTAGTTTGGGTGTAATTTGTGGTTGTCTATGTGTGTATTGATGGCTATGACTGTGCATGTTAGATCTATCTTAATATTTATACTTAAAGATATAACAACTTATTTCGAATTTCATAGCTTTTACATGATTTTATCAACTTTTAGTACATAATCATGATGAGCTTAGCAGTTCTTACTCTAAGCCCTCACAGTGGCTGGACCACGAGTATCAAGTATAGTCTAAGGAAGCGTATCCATGGGGCGATGCAGGTGATCGGTGCTGCGCTAGCCATTAGTGGAAGTGCATTAGTTATGGGTTTGATGCCTAAATGGTTTTCGAAGTCCGTACATGGTATTTTTGGTAAGATTGAATTTGTTTCTTGACGCTAAAGTTTGGCCAACAAAAGCTAACACAAGGCGCCATTAAAAAAAAATTGTGCTTACAATAATACTAAGCAACTGAAACATCGAAGAAGTGCTTATTTAGATCTGTATATCATGTTTTTTTTTCTGGGATTACAATATCCTAGTTGGAATAAAATAATATTACGAGATACTATGGCTCTAGTGAAAAGGGTAACAAGTAAAATAAGTCAACTTTACAAGGAGGTGCGAAAAAGAGTTAATGTTTATTAAGATATTAAGCGTTAAGTGTTTCTCGCGTTTCCTTATTAAGTTGGCTTGTACCCCGCTAGAGCCACAATATCGTCGGGATTAGAGCAATTCCGTGTAACTAGCATTGGATAATTCTGCGTATCTAACGCATGTAGCCAACGGTCTATCCAAGCCATTTTGATTTTCGATACTGCTTGGATAGACTACCAGACGCTAAAATGATTTCATCTAAAATCCGTTGTTTCTTCTTTAACGATGCAGCGATACATTTTTACTTTATCAAGTCACGGTGAATACTTGACAGTGCTTTTTATTATTTTTTCCAATTTAAATGCAAAATTTCCAAGAAAACAACAAATCGATTGTTACTTTTGACACAAATGTAGAGTTGCCCTATACAGATTTTAAAAAATGCATTGTGCCAGCTTTCGTTGTTCAGCTTCATATTTTATTTTATACGCTTTTTTGTATTTAGCATTCATTGTAGTTAATTCGTAATTTTACTATAGGAGCATTGACTTTTATTTATGTATAGGAGTCACAGTTTAAGAGGCACAATTTGACAACAGTAATGTGACAGACAACCACACCAATTACCTGATCTTTTTACTAGGGAATTTCCTATATTATTACTATAAACTACTATATTTATTATTATTACTATAGACTAAAGTATGTGACTTTGAATGCAATCATTGAAACGGTCAACAAACAATTATTAACTTATTGGGTTTAAAAAATAAATTCATTTGAGTGAAGCATTATATAACATTATAGAACAAATTTCAAGTTATTTTCACACGAATTTCAAAATAAAATGCAAAATTAGTCAGTCCGAAACGTCTTGAAAACAGTTACGTCCTCAGCTTTTTTTTTAATTTTTAATTTTAATTAATAAAAATTTTTTAATTTTAAATAATAGTGTTGTAATTAATTAATCACCTAGTTTCACCGCGTGAAAACAATTTAACTTAAAAAAATATCGACTTTGATTTTAACAGAGATGTTAATAATGATAATATGATTGGAAATCAATATTATACATGCACTGTTTTGGTTCATCTTCCAATGAAAGTGAATAAAAATTTAAAGTGTGAAGTCTTTTTTTTTTTGTTTTTGTTTAGAAATTTACTATTTAACTACAGGTTGTCATTGTGATCATTAAACTCTATATTACTCTATACTTATTATTTATATTAAATTCTATATCTCTCTATATTACTTAAATAAATGCCAATTCATCTATCTAGAACCGAAACCAATGACCCGAAAAATTATCTAAATGATCACAGACTCATAAAATTTCGAATCTATTTATCGTGAGAATCGTCTAATATGGTTACCGATGTGTTTAGTTTACATCACTATTTACATCGCGATGACAAGTGTCAAAAGGTGCCTCTTATTTTGTGACGACCATAATTGATTATTTTTTTAATTTCATATTGGGTTGAGCAGTATTGCTTTATTTTACATTTATAAAAATCAACCCAAGCAACCCAATTTGATATTTAATACTACGAGTATTAGAAATTATTCGTTAACATGTTACATCCCCGAAAACGTCGAGCATATAACCAGAAATAGAGACGAAATGTCATTTAACTTGTTTGAAAACTATTCTGCCATATCATTGCTGTGACAACTGCGTTCCGATTGGCCAGCCCGCATTCGAAACAATTGACGGGTGTCGTCAATAGGGGTTGGGGTTGCTATAATGGACGAAAATTGCAAAATTACATATTTAATATTTAATTACCGATGAAATTTGATTCCGTTTGTTTTGTAATTAGATGTTTTGCTGATTTTCCCCACACCTCCGAATGGCCCAGCCACCCATTGTTAGAGATATTATCTTTATTACAATAAATACCAAATAATTTTGGAATACACGGAGACGTACTCACAGGTCAGTTGTTGGTGCTGTCTATATTTCAGTGCAAACGAGAGTTGATATTTATAAGTGACGTATCGCTGATGTGTTACCAGGAATGTATGGCCCTTATTTTTTATCTCTATTTCTGGTTATAAACTCGATGTCCGAAAATAACAGCCCCTTAAAATTTTTAAACCACATTTTTCATTTTCCAGGTATAATGGCCCTTGCGTGCCTCTGTTTAAGTTTTGTTCTTGGAATATTGAACGTATTATCCTCAAGGATGCCAAGCCTAGAAAGGGCTATTAAAATAGGTCACACATTTTCGGGGGTTTTTACATTAGTATTTGCCTTTTTAAGTCTTATTATGGGCTTTGATGTATTATTGTCGCTTGGATTTAACGGTGTCGGTATCTTGGGGATGTTGGTCACTGCGATTGCGATGATTGGGGTCGTTACATCCGCCTTGATTACTGCATTGAGAAGAATGTGTTGTTAATTAATATTAATTATGGTGAAATGGGTGACACTAATTTTCTTGCCACATTTCGACTCATCCGTAGAACATTCGATTTTGTATTTCCGAAATGAAATCAGATATATAAATTCTCAAAACATCTTTACATAGGCCATAGCTTAAATAACGAAATTATTTATTTGTTCTCTTTTCGCTATATAGTCATATCGGGCTCTGTTCTTCGGATGAGACGATTTGTTTACAAATATGATTCTTGCTGTACCTTCAATAAATACTAACAACCTCCCAGCCCCCGCAGTATGGCTACGCATGACAGTCAGAGTAAAGAGTAAATTTGAAATAGGTGCGCGCTATTGGCTATTTAAATTAGATCTAATTGAGACAGCCAATAGCGCGCGCTTATTTCAATATTATCGCGCGCATTGCGACTATCATGCATAGCCAGGCTACGGGCGCAGGACTATATGACTAACATCATAAACAACAACTTTTGTTCAATGGCTTTTTCACAAAAATTACTGGCAGTTTTTAGATGTGTACTTTTAGCAACTCCTTCCGGGAGCTGTCATTTATAAAAATAATGTTGATGATGGGTGCTTTCTTTTGCAACGGCACAGAGTTATTACCATTTAAAGCGATCTATTTAAATATTTTTATGTTATTTTTTTAAATCTATTTTTTTCAAAAACTTGTACAAGTTTAGACCGCCAAATACATACAGGCTCTCTGAGCCAACAATTAATTTGTCCATTGGGTAAACGTACATTCCCAAAAATTGTAGCTCTCGGGGTTACGTTACGATTACATTCCACCAACACATTATACAGATCCTCTATTTTATTGCAAGTACTGCACAAGTCCACCAGTGAGGTTAAACGGGAATCTCGCCAGCCTATTTCCACCTAACACTCGCGCTGATGTTGTGGATAATACGATGCTGTTCAGTGGGTCATGATGAAAGCTTCGGCAATAGACATGTTTGATAAAAATATTTAAATACCAGTGGAATAAATTATTTGAAGATAAATTGTAAATTAAACAGGGCAATTATTTGCAGAAAAGCCATTTTTTTTTATTTGAATCGTACGTATCTCACAACCTTGAGATTAAAATTAAATAGTTTCGCGAGACATCACACAATTCGTGTTACATAATATATAAATTCTCGCCATGCACAGCCTCGTCAATTCAGACCATTTCCACCGAAGATAGGTTAGGAGAAAATGAAAATGTTGCCATATAAATTTCAATCCTCGTCTCGCCTTGTCTCGTTTCGCCTTGCCGGTGCAAAAGTGCCTTTATACCTATATGCTTGTATAAAGCACCCGTCGTCTTACGTCAAAAAAATTTTAAACGTAAGAAGGTGAGTGCTTTATTCACAACAGTGTCCCTTGATCTGCTCGTCACTGCATGCTTAGTACAAAATCTTTGTGTTTTTGATTACTGCATTATTGTACAAAGGCGGCGACATGTCAATATTTCTTCTTTTAAAGATTTGTTATACCTTAGTTTACAACTTTCATTTAAAACGTAATTTGTTTGAAAATCATCTACATATAATTAGGTTTTTTTCTACGTTATCTTGAGAACATAATACAATATGTACACCACGGCTATTTGCAGAACAGTAACTGTGGTGGAGCATGATATTGGTATCTTTGCTATTCATTACTACAGAACTTATTTTTCTTTGTGCCAAAGAAAAAATAAGGGTTCGATGCGGGCACATTCCAATTCCATTATCGTATCGCAAAATTTTGTCATTTGCGATTATCTTCATTAATGTTTGAGATTTGTTTTTTCAATAGATAAAATATACTGTAAAAAATTAACATTCGTTTTATTTCTAAAAAAATGCACATCTGTTCTATCTACAGGTCCTTGAATATCACTGTGTTCTTGAAATGTATTCAGAGATGTTATTATTTTCGGTTTATATAGAACCGGAAACGGATTTTTTTTTAAATTATTTTTATTTACCATTAAATATAATTAACATTATGGAAATTAAAATATTTCATTATTAATTTTTATTTATTTCAGGCCACATGACCCATACAATATATACCTTAAGGACTAACATACATACAATACAATAAAACACTATTTCTAACTAATCTACACGAATTGCACTTGTCGGCGACGTGTGGTGCAATCTGGTGTCGGGTAACCGGCCGCGGAACCGCCGATATAAGACACCCTTCGGTCAAAATTATTCCTTCTTGAAGGTCGACAGATGTTTGGTCGGTACTCTCACCACAAACGAATTGAAATTCACGTTGTGGCGGGACTCCAACCGCTTGACCCTCAGGGTGTATTTGGCTTTATGTCTGATGTACTCCACTATCTATCTCCTCGAACTTCGTGGAGTAATGCAGCCGCGACAAGTACAGCAGCGTCGTCGGTGTGGCCGGATGCAGCAGGAAGTTCGGTCCTGTCGGTGCAGTGTCACACTGGTTACGGCTGGTGGGCTTCCTCTTCTCCACTTTTGTGAAGCCGTCCTCGTCGCACCAGTCCGTCTGCCTCTGTGCTTTTACAACTTCAGAGACAGGCACAAGGGGATTGCTTTTTCCCTTAGTATTGTTTCAATAATGTTTGAAACTGGCGGGTCGGCTACTTGAAACGGAGCTATAAAGGCTTATGCACGTGTAGGGGTTGACGTGCGTACGCGTGATGTTTCCGCCGAGACGGAGGGTCGGGCAGCTGAGCGCGGTGCATCACGCGCGTTGGCGACAGCGATCGGTACAGTCTAATGTGCCGACTGCACACTGCAAATGGATGCATTTTGCGCCACACGACGCATGTTTACATTAGAGGCTTCTGGTGACCTACATACCGAAGCAGCGTTGCACACGCAACTTGGGCACGTAGCTCACTTACGGTGTTATCCGAAGCCTCTAATTTACATTGTAATTCGGCTAGGCTCTACTTTCAAGGACGTAATGTCCTTCAGTATCCTAGTGGCATCAACGTCGTCAAACGTGACTGGGGGCAGCTCGTGCAACTCCTTCGCCATGAATGTGGGCACGTCGTCCGGATCAGTCTCCTTCAGGAGTGTGACGATTACCTGGAGTCTCTTCACGCCTCCATCCTCCGGCGAGATGGCATCTGTTCGGCTTTACCGAGGCTCTGGAACAACAGCATCTTGCCACTGCAAATCTCATCCTCATTGAAATTCGATTTGCAGATCTAATGAAATGTATTTTATGGAAATAAAAGATTCTTTTGGTTACTGGCTATAACGTAGATTATATGACTGACAATTCTGACAGGTGACGTCTAGACTTTGACTTACAATTATTTTGGTTGTGGCACTGTTTCGAGAGACGACAGTTACATAACTGGTTCTCAGTTAGATAGCGGCCGATAAGCGACCATAGCGCGACATAAGAATGTGATGAAATCTATACAGAAGTATCTAAACAGAATTTACTTTGCAGAAGAGTCGATTAAGGCGTGGTATTTAAACACGAGCCTAGATGTTAGAGCCTATTCCACTAGTCTCTTACCAGCTGTCCCCGCACAAATCGATTTTTTTTCCACTGTTGTTGTTTCCCTACCACACCGTCACTGGTTGGGATGAGTGGAATTTCTTTGCACCTATCTCTACCCAATTGTTTCTATTAATAAGTACAGTTGAGAATAAAATCATGTCAATGTGAAAAGCATAATTGTTTATTTAAATGCATGGTTTTTATTACCTGCTAAGTTGCTTACTGCTGTTTTTAGTTCATTACTAATCGTAAGTTTGTTAAGTTAAAAAAGTAATAAACTGATCGTAATGCTTACTTCATTACAAATCTTTTGATATGTAATTGTCCTCTAAACTCGGACTATTCTATCCTCTAAGTCTAAACTTCATTATTTACATGATGACAAAAAGTTGCCAAAAATCTTTTGCTCATATCACCATATTTGATCACATTTGCAATACCTCATTTATTCAGAACACGGCTCAATTAGTTTCAGGATGTGGTATGTGACGCTACTAGTTTGATAAAATCAATTCGAATGTGCGAACATCGCATAAACAATGATAAGATTATGAATACTAAGAACGAGTGAGATAATGTGTAAAACTATGAAGCACTAGCCAAAGTACGATTAACTGATATTATTATGTTATAACTGAACATTAAACCGACTGCCCCGATCTCTGATTGTTTCAATGGTTACTTACAATTACGTCAAAATTACATTAAGAAGTAAAGAGAATTCAATGTCATTCCTACGAATGTTTGAGAATCAGAATGGGTGTATCTTAACGAATCCTATCAAATTGAGTACCAAAAACGTACCTAAATTGTACTATTTAGTACCCATGCGCTTAAAAAAATTGTATCTCTTTCAGAACAAAGTGATTGCAATATCAAAGGCACGCCCGTCATATTTATTGACACCAGAAGTGCACTTCAAATTACTCGTTTTTATTAGTTAATTATAAGAACTTATTATTCCAAAAAAATGTACCTTAATGGGTATTATTAAAGGAACGCTAACTCGGCCTATTGATTAGTTTCTAAGAAGTAAAGCTAATATATTGAGAGTCAGAATGGCGGGGAACTTAACGAATTCTGTCAAATTTCATACAGAATAAATACTTAAATAATTGTTAATACAAAGATCGATAACTTAAAAATGCTTCGATCCGACCGGAATCGAACAGACAACGTCGTCTAGCAAACTGCCAGACACTATGCCAACTAAGCCACGGAACGAACCAGCGGACCTCATGAATTTATCTGTGTGCTTTTTTGTCGGATCTTTGTATCTGGTTTTTTTAATGACTTTTTAGTCATACAAAAAGTAATTGATTAATATGGTGGTTAAAAATCCTGTATAGGTATAATAGGTAAATAGGTATAATTTCGTCATTACACACCTATTTTAATATATTTGCAATTGTTGCAAAAAATCAGCTGTCAGAACACGTTTGTCAACTCGTTCCCGAAGCAGCTACCAGCACCTTGATTGTATTTTGGTACTGGAGGCGTAGTGCAACGTATGTCATTTGCGACAATGACTGGCAACACCACATTATTATCATATCTAGCTTCAAGGTAAACCAGATAATAAATGCTTATTGGACGAAACGGTATTGATGTGTGTTTTGTCGATTTTTTTGTTTTGTTAATTGCTGCAACCCTAGAATCTTTTATTCCTTTTTTATTAATTAAGGGGGGTTTCAAGATGTTTCTTTTTTTTCAAGTCTTACTACGTAACTTAAGTAAACATAATAGTTTGCGACAATGTTGTCATCGAAAATAATTAAAGTAACAGGTTTAATACCTGTAATCATTGATGACATTGATCCTATTGAAAAAATTACCAACACAACCTGTGTACAAAATAATTGTCGCTTACTTTATATGATAAAAGTGACGAAATTGGATAATTGACATTTTTGTGTTACTAAATTTTAAAAATGTTCATATTTTAGGAAATAATTTAATTAAAAATATTTTTTGAAAACAAGACAATCATTTTTAAAAGTTTTGGGGTTTTATGTTACTAGTTTATTCGGTCTAATATAGTGCTGGCGTATTCCCCAGGAGAACCCCATGCCGTCTCGGTGCCTCGGCATTTTCGGCCTCAGCCTGTACACAACCGAGCAGCAGATCAACCACATCTTCTCCAAGTACGGACCAGTTGAGAAGACTCAAGTCGTTATTGATGCTAAGGTGAGTTTTTTAGGTTATCATCGTCATCATCCACAGCCCGGCCTGTCGTAACATGCATGGTGTTTGTTTTTCGGGTTTTACGCGGCCAGTCGGGCTGTCTTAAACTGCAGAAAATAACTTTTTTTATAAAATAAAACACCGACCTCAAAAAGTTCGTGGAATTTATTGAAATAATTGAAAATAACTTAAGTCATGTCGTCCCATGGCCCATGACGTTCGATTTATAGGTTAATTGTACGGGAAACTATATACTTTACTATAACACAACGCGTAATTATATTTACACTGAATAATATGGTTCCTCAGGATATAGGGACATGAACACTAATGCTTTTAGGGAGACTACAGAGTCTCCCTAAAAGCATTAGAGTAAGATAGAACGTATGCCATTAAGTCGCAATAATTGCACACGCTTTGCTTTTAAGATTTCTAACTTCCAATGTATACAACATTGGGAGTTAGAAATCCCCATTAAACAATTAGATTGACGGCTAGTACACGTTTTGGTACTTTGATTTGCCCATACCATGTTAAAAATAAACTTCTGGCGAAAGGGTACTATACTGTTGATGAGTACGAGTACATGAACAATAAAAACGCGTGGAGTTAATATTATATCATTTTGTTATCTACTTACCATTTCGTACGAATTGTTTTATTTATTTGATGTCTTTTTGTAATATGTTGTGTGATTTTGACTATTCAAAAGTACTTGTGAGTCAGACTTACTTGATTATAACTTTATATTATTATTGTATATTTTCATGCTATTATTACTGACAGACGGGAAGATCCCGAGGCTTCTGCTTCGTGTACTTCGAGTCGCAGGACGATGCGAAGGTGGCGAAGAACGAGTGCACGGGCATGGAGATCGACGGGAGGCGCATCCGCGTCGACTTCTCCATCACGCAGCGAGCTCATACGCCGACTCCTGGCATTTACATGGGGAAACCGACGTAAGTACTTGATTTAAGACAGGTGCTCCAAAGTTTGTTATTTTCCTAGTTGTTTGCAAATTCATTTGCAAATGAAACCGGAAATTTTCTGTACCACATAACGTCTCTTTGAATCTGAAAAATATCTGACATTCTTGTCGCAACTTCGTACGATAAGATTAGATTTTAAAAGCGAACAATTTTCTTACTGTTGTGTACAAGTAATTGCTATAATGATACAATTTTATAGCTCAAGATATATATAATATATTTTTAATATTTTTGGTAATGATGGCCGCTTTACGTTAACCATGATATGAAAAAACAAAATCAAGAAGCAGTTTGTTTTTAACCGACTTCAATAAAACGAGGAAGTTCACAATTTGACTGTATTTGTTTTTTTATGTATGCTACGCGATAACTCAACGTCATTTGGGAACCGATTTTTAACCGACTTCAAAAAAGGAGGTTCTCAATTCGCCTGTTTCTTTTTTTTGTATGTATGTTACGCGATAATTCCGGTGGAAAGAGGGTACCTCAGTAATGGCGCATTTAAATTTGAAGAAAATATTCCATTAATAGGGTGGCATGAATCCGGATTCGCGCACGCACTTTTCGGTAACCGATTTAAATAAAACTTGGTAAATAGATGTAATTCCACGAACTTTTGCGGTCGGTTTTTTTAGTACTCTGTACTGAGATTATCTGAGTATACGCACCATTAAAGTAGACCTATCGGGAAAGTAGACCGATCGGGAACGTAGATCAAATGGGAAGGTAAACGAAATAGGAAAGTTAACCAAACAGGAAAGTAGATGAATAGTGAAAATGGACCGATCGGGAAAGTAGACCAATTGTACCGAATGGATTTCACCGACACCCTTATCCTTTAAAACAGGAATGCAGTAATGTGTGAATTAGATATAAACCGATAGAAATCGGTTAGTTGCTGCCAACTTTACTTGCCTGGATGACCTCGTGTCACAAGAAGCTCTACTGTGACTAAAAATATCCTTAACTATAATTTTGTTTTTCAAATGATATATATACGAGGGGTGGTCCAAAAGTAATGATAATCAATATGAAATAAGGATATTTTAACTAAAAAAATATTTATTTCTGTACATTATCTCCTAGCAAGTTTTAGTCCCATCTTTTTTCTAAACCCATAATTCCCTTTGAAAAAAATTCTTTGTCTTGACTATCCAAAAACGCCTCTACAGCAGTCATCACCTCGCCATCGTCGTCAAATTTTTTGCCTCGGAGGTGTTCCTTGAGTCGAGGAAAGAGGTAATAAAAGTCGCTGGGAGCCAGGTCTGGCGAATAGGGTGGGTGTTCGAGCAATTCGAATCCCGTTTCTTGAATAGCAGCCATCGCTATGGCGGCTTTGTGAGCCGGTGCGTTGTCGGTGTCTTGGTGTAACAACACTCCAGCTCGGAGTTTGCTTCGTCTTTTTTTTTTACGGCCTCCCGCAATCTTCTTATTTGGTCTGCGTAGTAAGAGCCCGTAATAGTGGCTCCTTTTTCCAAGTATTCCATCATTATAACTCCTTCAGCGTCCAAAAAACGGACGCCGTAACCTTTCCTGCCGAACTTGACACCTTGAATTTCTTCGGCGTCGGGGAAGAGGCTCGTTTCCAAGTAATTGACTGTTGTTTGGTTTCTGGATCAAAATGGTGGATCCAGGTCTCGTCCATGGTCACGAAAATAGACAAAAATTTTCCTGATCCGTCTGAAACTTTTCGAGATTTGCCCTCGACATGTCAACTCGTTTTTTCTTTTGTTCATCGGTTAACATTCTTGGCACCCAGAGACCTTTTTCATATGCAGTTCGTTTGCAAAGATTCTTTGAACGCTGCCATATGAGATTTCTGTGACCTCAGCTACATGCCTTATGGTCGCTCTTCAATCTGCCAATACGACATCTTCGACTTTTTTGACGTTTTCTGCAGTGAGGGACGTGGATGGGCGTCTCTCGCGATATTCATCTTCTGTGGATGTTCTACCCAGCTTGAACTCCTTTGCCCAGTGCACAACTGTAGAATATGGAGTCCCCCAATGTTTCCACTAGGTCGCTGTGTACGTCTTTGGTAGACATTTTTTTCAAACAGAGGTACTTGATGACAGCTCTGATTTCGTTTTTCTCCATTTTGATGTTTACTCTCCAACTGTTCGTATTCAAATGAATGTACCTCCTGCCGTAGTCGTCTCAAAACCCGCGTCAGCGGGTTTGAGGGGGCCGTTCGAGGCGTCGGCCTCTTTCGGCGGGGTCGATCGCCACTCGTGGAGACGAGCGGGTCCTGGGGTTGGGTATAACCCTCGGGTGTCACAGTCGGGTGAGCTGCTTCAGATGGGAGTCCGGTGCCGGTGGGCCGGCAGGTTTCTTAACCATCTTCAGCAGCTGGTCTCTGATCCGGTGGGGCTTCCTTGAAAAAGCAGTTTCTGGTCAGGATGTTGGGCTCGGCGTGGTGCCAGTCCCTGTATATGGCTATGCAGGGATTGTCCGGCGCGCCGGAACATGGTCTTGGCCGGGCGATCCACGAAGCTGTCGAGGCTCTCCATGCTCAAGTTGCCCGTTGGATGACGTCATTCCTCACATATCGTGTGGCGTCTGTGATGCACCGCAATGTCAGCGACTGTTGGGCTTTGAGTCGCTGCCTGTTGCACTCTCCTACCAGCGCGTACCATGCTTGGGCTGCATATGTTAGGGGGATCTAATGTACATCTTATACACTCCGAGTTTCACTCGTAGTGGGAGTCGGGACTTGAGAATCGGTCGCAGGAGTGTGCGGGTGTTCTGCACGACGTTCTTGATGTGATGGGCCATAGATAGTCTTCTATCGATTGTCACCCCTAGGTATTTCACCGTGGGGGACCACTCGATAGCCTGGCCCATCAGTGTCAGCTTCGGTGGCATCTTCTTCGAGTTGCTCACGATGATCGCCTGGGTTTTGGTGACGTTGACCGAGAGTCGCCAGCCATCCAGCTAGGGAGGAAGCATGTCCAGTTGGCGCTGCGTCTTGACCGCCGCGTGAGATGCGGTGATGGAGGTGGTAAGGTACGCGGCGTCGTCGGCGTACAAGGCCAGGGTGGCCCTTTCCGCCAAGGGGATGTCATTCGTGTACCGAGCGTAAGACACGGGTGACAGACAGCTTCCTTGTGGTATTGCGGCACTGATGGTGCGCTGTGAAGAGGTCACTTGCTCCACCGCTACGTGGAAGCGGCGACCTTTCAGAAAAGATTCTTAACTACTCGACGAGTAGTAGAAGTTGGAGATCTTGTTGTTATAGTAGGCCGGGGTGCCAGACGCAATCAAATGCCTTCTCCATGTCCAGGAGCACTGCGACGGTGTGTGCCTTCTTATTAGAAGCCACCGTCATGTGATGGAGCACTCTGGCGAGCTGGAGAGACGTGGAGTGCTCAGAAGCCGAACTGCTCGTAGCAACCTCTCGAAAACCTTAGATATGGTGGGCAGCAGAGCGATGGGCCGATAGCTTTCTGTTTTCAGAATGTCTTTCCCGGTTTCGGGAGCATGATGACTCGACCGAGCTTTCAGGTGTGTGGAAAGTGACCTGTCCGTATGATGCCGTTGAAGATCGAGTCATCGCGGCTATCGCCTTCGGTGGTAGATGACGGAGGGCTTCATTTGTTATCCGGTCTGGTCCGGGGGCTTTCTTCCTTTTGGCTCGGCGGGTCATACGCAGGACTTGTCCTGGCGAGAAGACAATGGGGTCCTCGTTGGAAGCTATCGGTGTGGCGAAGTAATTTTCGAGGTGCTGTTGGATGTTATTGGCTGCATGCTGATGGTTCACGGACAGGTTTGGGCGGAACTGCGTCTCGAGGTGATCGGCAAAAATCTCAGCGCGGTCTTCGGCTCTGTAACGGGGGGTTCCGTCACTGGCTAGCAGGAGGCGCGTAGGTTGCGCTTTCCCGCAGAAATGGCGGCATAGTTATGGATGCCGTTCCAGTCGTCGCCGGTGGACTCGATAGTGTGTTGCCAGGATGTGGCATGGAATTCCAGCTCTTCCGAGATCTTTGCGGCCATGGTGTTCAACCGGGGTTTCGTGGTTGGGCATCAGGCTATTTGCCATTGTCGACGCAGTTTCCTTTTCTCCTCTATCATCGACAGGATTCTGTGGGGAGTTTGTTGGGTGCGTTTGTGGCGCGAAGGGGTGCTGGCAGTAGCATATAACGCTGCGCGGATGCTGTGGGCGAAGTCTTCAGCTAGCTGATCACTTCTGCGGCGCTGTGAACCCCGACGCCGGAGACTACAACACCTCCCAACGAACCTACGGCGCCGACAGCCCCGCCGGGCGACAAGAGGCTCCGCTACCCGCCCCTGATCGTGGAGCATCCACCAAACTGGGCGCACCACTTCAGGGAGCTGAAAAGCAAGCTGTCCCGTACGCCCAACGCCCGCTCCTACGGGTGGGGCGTACGATTCCTCCCGAGGGACGAAACAGAGTACCGTCTGGTGCAGCGGTACCTAACCACCCTGGAGAGGGAAGAGGGTATCTCTTACTCCCTCCCAGCAGAGAGATCCCTCAAAGTGGCCATCCGTGGCCTACCAGAAGAGACCAACACTGAAGACATACTTTAGGAACTCCGGGAGCTCGGCTTTGCCCCCGAGTATGCAAGGCCGATCAAGGCGCGCGCCAGATGGCCGGGCTGCCTATATTACGGGTGCGTATCGAGGCCTGGCGCGGAGAGCAAAGACATCGGGCAACAATTCTGGCACTCTTCGCATAAATGCCACCGCAAGCCTGCGTGTGTGCGATGCGGCGAGAATCACGCCGTCTACGACTGCCCGCGCCCGCTGAAGGAACCGCCGACGTATGCCAACTGCGGAGGCCCCCACCCCGCCAACAACACCACCTCTTACCCGGTTTTCCGCGCCGAAAACCGGAACAAGAAAGCCGGCACTATAGCCCGCACCGCCCGACTACGACCATCGGAACAGGTCCCTCAGACGATGACGGTGACAGCAGAGCAAGATGCGCCCAATCGCTGATGGCTGCAGCGAACGCACCACACACAGCCAGGAGCCTCGGAAACGGAAGCCCACCAACCAGCCGCAAGAGATAGCCGCCCCTCCCAAGGAGATGAAAGGAAACCAGGTTACTACAGTACCTCCTCACCGAGAAGAAGGTTGACGTGGTAATCCAGGAGACGCACTTCAGAACTCAAGACCCGCTCAACAATGTACCTCCTGGTAATCGTGGCCTGTTTACATGATTTTTTTATGCTGATGAGGGAGCAAAAACAATTTTTTTCATATTTTTATGTGCTCTACAAATATCCGATTAATCATTACTTTTAGATCACCCCTCGTAATATACAATCACCACACAATTATGTAATTGACTTCGTTTACCACTCTTAGAGGTGGAATATTTTCTTCATATTTAAATGGGACCAGTGCTGCGGTACGCTCTTTCCAACAAAAAAATACTCATTAAAATCAGTTTGCAGACGCAAGTAATCGCGTAACGTACACACACAAAAAATACAATTGAATTGAAAACCTCCTGGTTTTTGAAGTCGCTTAAAAAAGGCCTTTGAATGTCAACGTATACTGTATGGAAACTGACTTGTTTTTATAACGTGTCGTAATCAGGATCGCTATAAGCGCTCATAGTAGGTCCTCTGAACTTCAGATAAAGATATTCAGAACAGTGTTATTGTCAAAAGGCCAGCTAGGCTTAACCATATTTGTGCATGCCATCGAAAATTACTACATGACTTAACAATTTAAATCCAGCATCAGAAATAGAGTGACAAGAAAATTTTGTAACATATATCCTAGATGTTGGTAGATTATTGGAGCAACATTAGAGTGAATCGTCATAGAGAATAGTCGGTTTACTAAAGGCATGTTCCCACATTTATCATTCAATATGAACCACAACGTATGCGATCATTTGATTTTTAATTCGGGACTTAATCACGTATAAAACGTATTTTATTTACCTCAACGTCTCCCTTCGAGACCTTGGACGTTGCAATATGTCCGAAACGTCGACGTATTTTATACGTGATTAAGTCCCGAATTAAAAATCAAATAATGTGTAAAAATCGTGAAAGTTTAAATCAAAGTAACGTATACGCACACTTATCGGACATATTCGTGCGTATATATGTGACTCGTTGTAAGTAATCCCGCCTACACATACATGCAACGCGTAGCTCGATCAATGTGTGTGACGTAGCCGCGTGTGGCTATTCGTTGTCTTTATTGGTGTGCAATGTAATGCAAGCAACTGATCTAGTTTTTATTTAAAATGTCTATTCGTTTCGCAGGAGTGTAAGCCGAGACAACGGTTACGATAGACGCCGAGATCGAGAGTAAGTATTACATACTTTTTGTACATTCGTTGTACCATCATACAAATGTCATACAGAGGAACGTTTTTTTGAGAAAATTTCAAAACATGACAATTTAAAAAAAAAATTATTAAATATTCCCTATTCTATCAAAGGTAACTCTCTCCCGAACGCGACGTAAACTAGAAATTATTAAAACAAATACAGCATTAACGATATGACTGAAATAACGAAGTCAGTAACTGTTGTTTTTTTTTGGCTGATTTCAGTTGTGCTTACGGCCCGCGCGGAAGGAAACCGGCGCGGGCGCAAGAGTAGGTTTACATAGTGTCGTTTCTTTGTCACGCTTACGACATGTACTGCATGTACTATTTTGATACATTCCGAGCGAACCATCAGCGCGGGCTGTTAACACTTTCAGTGCCAAAAATAAGTCAACGCGAATTCCATATCCCGTATTAATCATTCAAGAAGTAGTTTTTGAACGGCAATGCAAGTGTTAAGCGCGACTCAGAAATCAGCCTTATCGGTGGGAGTGGAATTTATTGGTTTGTTCGATTAATTGCAGCGACTACTACTACCGCGGCGGCGGCGGCGGCGGCGGCGGAGGATACAGGGACCGCGACTATTACCACCGCAGCTACCGACACCGCTCGCCTTCGCCGCACTACCGCCGTCGGCGCTATGAACGCGAGCGCTCCTACTCGCCGCGTAAGTCCTACTACCCGCGCTAGTCACCGCCCTCCGCCACTACACGCTTGTTACTTACGGACCGTCACTGGGAACGCATTGCATTTGTTATATTATTACAACCTTGGCGAGTAATTACATATTCTTATGTCAGTAGACCTTTATTCCTAAGTTTGTTTTGTAACATATACAAATTAAGTTTAAAATTGTTTATAAATTACTCGCCGACGCTTGTATAAAAAATGGTAAGTATTAATTTCCCAGCTTGGTGGTGGACTTAAATAAAAATATTCATTGACCTATGTAAAAAAAAGCCAAATGACTGCGCCTGCTCATCTTCTAGTCTTAAGACATAAAAAGTTTTCAATGTAAATCATCAGATGTCCATATCCTTTATACGCCGTAAAATTTAGCTTGACTAGAATGTGACATGTCAACTTCATGAACCAGTGATGGAACACGAGCAGTGAAATCGAGAATCGATGTTAAAATATATCGACTGCACTATGATGTATATTAATCGGCGTTACTGTATCATGGTAATTAATTGAAATCAACTCGTATATTATTATTGATGCATGAACTAACTAAATAAAGTGAATAATTAAACCAGTATTTTCACAAATATATAAATATATATATATGTATTTATGTCGTGGTTGTAAAAACATGATATTCAATAAAATAAATATTGCAATTAACTCATATACTTTTAGTGATAGGGTTCGGTCTACGAATAATGTCGAATAGGCATGACATCACTATTTGTTAATATTGATTTGAGTTTCCATAAACCAAATGTACTATCGTGTCAAACCAGAACACTGCAACAAGAATCTTTTGGCTGTTCCTAAGGGAAAAGAAATTTTATTCGCTTTTCAATTAGAAATAGCTTATTTTCCAAAGTAAAATTGAGGCCATGAGAACCATAGTGGCCTAATTCAATGGACAAGCCATAGTGACCTATCTTACTTAGGCCAGTATGGCACCTCAAATTTAGATCACAGACTACAAACCATAACAATGATTATGCTGCCATCTAGTGAAAATTCGTTGTATCACTTTTAGGCCTTTCTGGTTCTATCAAAATGATCAATTTGAACTGGAAAAAATCATAAACTCAATATTGTAAAAAAAATGAGTTAGGCCACTATGGTTCTCATGGCCTCAATTGTAATGGTCTGATAGATTTCTTTAATAATATACAACTAAGTTCTGTATTTTTTTATGTTTAACATCAAAAATTACAAAAAAAACGAAAAATGTTTTGTGTAGTGTCTAGATTTGACAACGCTAGTGTAACCAAACACATCTATATAATAGTGTAGTTGGGATTTTTTTCCCAAAAATACACAACTGTTGTTTTGAGTTATATTTAAATTAACAAAAAGTGAAGCCATTCAAGTAAAATTTAAAAATTACCGCCGAAAATTACATTCATCGATCAGAAGTGTTAGTCGATTTTGTATTTTTCACGTGTCCCATCACATTTTTTTTTCCACTGGACATAACTTCGTCGTGTTACGTTGTGAAATAAACATGATTTATATTATCTTAGCGTAATTAATTCCAAAAGTGATTGTGGTTTTGTCTTACATCGTCCTAGTTTTGTCGATCTGTCATTATAATTAAGCCAAATTTTACGGAATATAAAATATTTTTCTAGTATGTACTTCTAGGTTGTTATTCTTGTGGATCCGGTCGTTGCCCAGCCGGTTCGGTATAAAAACCATTAGCCGTTAATTTCTGTAATAATCTCGTGTTCTAGAACTTTGTCGTCATTTGAATGTATGTGAAATATTGCTTTCTTACCTACGGTGACCCGAACGTAGGCCACGAACTGGCCCACATGAAGAACATTCTTCAATTCAGTGAATGCATGGCTGTTTAATTTGCATGAACTGAACCTTAAAATAAGGTTGTTAAAATAATATTATCCAAATGCTAATAACTGGTATGTACATACCTGAAGTACTCTGTACATTAAAATGTTTGCTTTTGTTTGTGACATATTGTAGACAGAATGTTTAAGTTCCAATTTCTCATTCCATTATGTTTGTGTCCTCTGTTCTGTCTGTTTGTTTATCTGTGAACTGGATACCTTGAAAATATATTGGTTTTAAGATTAACTGCTTTAGTTAATCTGAGTTTGAAAAGTTCTTGATATAACCAGACAGACAAGAGCATCATGCGTTAAGTGTAGTGTATCATCATTCAGAAGCCATTGAAGTGTGAACACCATGGTTACTCCCATCTTTGACTTTGCAGGTCGTTATTAGTAAGTTCGTGACGCAGAGGTCTACTTCAAACATAGATTTTGATACACCACACCCCATGCTGGCCTCGTAAGCATTTATGTACCAGCGCAGGCCGGTTTAGTCAACTAATGAATTGTTATTTAGCAATTGGAATTTGTAAGCTACCGGCGACCGCTCATCCGGTCGTCTGCTCTGGTCTCCAAAGAGTCGCCGAAACATGTTTTAGTTGTTACAAGTGATGAAAGGGTCTAGTTGATAAGTTAGTCTGTAACCCCCTTCTTCGGGGTATAGCTAGGATGTAAAATTAGTTCTAATAAAGTTTTAACACTAAGTCTAATATTGATTTTGTTTGTTTGAAAAGGTATTGAAACAAGAAGTAAAGGATGAAGTTCCTTGAAACTAACTGTTGAAGTTTTGAAAATGTTTGCTTGAAAAGTCCTTTCGAAATGGCGGTCGCCGAAAACCCCGACCGGCAGGTGCCGTAAGAAAATGTCGGTGGCGAAGCGAAGTTTTCGGATTGTTGGCAAATGTCGAAGCGAAAAGAATATGATCGAGTTCCCGGTTAGGGAGGTTGAAGCCCAAGCTCGCAAGACCGTCGAAGAAAGAAGTCGCGCGTCTGATCATATTCTTTATCTTCCGACTCAACTTATGGCCTCTACGGAGAGCCTGCCCTTCAAATTTTCATTAGTTTATCGTGCATACGGTTGTAGGCATTAAGTATCGTACAAACAAGGATTACTGAAGGGGGTTCCATTAGTGGATGCCATTACACATCCAGTTCTTTATCGACGTGATATAATGCATTTTACAATTCACAGTATCTATTTTATGTATCGGTTATGACTTATGAGTGACTTCACGTTCCACATCTAGTGTAGATTGTGTTGTGAGATATTTGTTAATAAACAATAGTTTTATAATGTCATTTGGGTCTTCTTCATTTCATCTTCATCTGTCCCACCTGGATATCCATCTTATCCCCTTTGATATTGGTTTGACGGACAGAAAGTATATATGACGTTGCTAATTCTTACGTTGGATGATGTATGTACATCCATAAGGTGGGCGGTGGGCAAATTTTAAGATTTAGCAGCGTTTTAGGTTTTAGTTTTGAATGGTATTTATAGAACACATGTTGCGTTGTTTGATTTATCTATTTATGCTTATTTATTCTATTTCATTGATAGAAATATTAATTTAAATGATTAAATATGTTGGCGTATATGTAGATTATGGAGACGTTTGGGTAATCATTCATAGGCATTTAATTAACAAAAATTCTCACTATCAGGTTTTATTAAAATTCTTAACAATATGTATGTACCTTATACTTATTTTATAAATAGATACCACATACAAATACACTTCTTATTGGCACTCCTTCCCAAATGGCAATCTACGATACTTTAGTGGAAAAAATTATATAAAAATAAATACACCAATAGTAATAACTTAAAGTTCGGACGCGACACTGATTTTGTACCACGACTTCGTCTACGACAAAGAGTACAACTAGAAATGGAACGGTCAACTAATACTGCTAAGTAATATTAAAACAACAACAAGAAATATACAGCAAATGGCAGCAAAGCGTTCTTGCGAACTTGGCACTGAATTTCTGTCATAAAAACGATCCCTTTGGTATAATTAGTCTACTTTCCCGATCGGTCCACTTTCACTAATCGTCTACTTTCCCGGTCGGTCCACTTGTTTTTCCCGATTCGTCTATTTCCCATTTCGTCTCCTTTCCTGTTTGATCTAGTTTCCCATTTCGTCTACTTTCCTGTTTGATCTACTTTCCCGTTTGGTCTACTTTCCCATTTGTTCTATTTTCCCGACCGGTTTACTTTCCCGATAGTTCTACTTTAATGATGCTCCTAATCAGATAATCTCAGTACAGAGTATTAAAAAAACTACCTCTAGTTTGAAATTGGTTATCGGAAAGTGCACGAAACCGGATTCACCTCTAGTTTGCCACCACCCTTAGAGGTGGAATATTTTCTTCAAATTTAAATGGGACCTCTACTGATGTACCCTCTTTCCAACAAAAAAAGAATCATTAAAATGGGTTCACAAAAAACCGGAGTTATCGCGTAGCATATATACAAAAAAATAGTTGAATTGAGAACTTCCTCCTTTTTTGAAGTCGGTTAATAACTGACTGTCTACTTGATTTTCTTTTCTCAAATCGTGGTTAACGTAAAGCGGCCATCATTATCAAAAACATAAAAAAATGTATGTACTCCATGACAATTAGCAATTATGCATTTACAAATTGCCTTCGAAAATTTGTAAAACGGATTTTTTTTGTAAAATTGTATTAATGTGTATGCTTAAAAGGACCATCTGGACAAGTGGACCGATCGGGAAAGTACACCGACCTGGAAAGTAGACGAAATGGGAAATTGACGAATCGGGAGAAACAAGTGGACTGATCGGGAAAGTAGACGAATAATGAAAGTGGACCGATCGAGATAGTAGACGAATAATGAAAGTGGACCGGTCGGGAAAGTAGACCGATTGTATCGAAGGGAAAACGATATTGGACAAAGCACGGGCTAGAAACGTCAGTACACAAACGTATGTAACAATATAATGTGACGTTCAATAATCCGTAAATAGCAGCGACATCCAAGAATAGTTTCTTCGCAAATAAAAACCGTTTTGTAGCCTATGTGATGTCCAAAATCCTATAAATACCAATATACAAGCTACAGTGTAAATATGACACTTTCCTGGCAAGATACAATGGCAAATCATTATTTCCTACGTTCCTAGTGGCAAAATTAGATGAGCAAAAAATTCTTGCTAGAGCTCCACATCGACTTAATAAAAAATATCAAAACAATAAATACAGTTTTTTATCGATTTCTGTACTTAACCAGCATATAGTTAATTTTCTATTTCATAAATGTTATTTTATAAATAATGTTAAAGCTGGGTGTTGAGTTTGTACAAACAAATTCTGACACTGCAGCTTTAGGCACCACGTCTATAGAGAACGAAACTAACGTAGCTTGTTTAGCAACGAGTATTTTCACTACGGCGGTCTAAGGGCGCCTTCAAATTGGGCGTTTATAGAAGCGCGCACCGGTGCAGTGCTCCTGTCGTGCCTCGCGCAGTTGCAGCCACTTTTGCAGTTACAAATAAACGAACATTAAAATTATTGACGCGCGGCTGCCGCGCCCCTGCATCGCTTCACCTAAGGGGCTGCATCGCGGCCCAAACCCGTAATAATTTGCGTCAAATTCCCTCGGCTGGCAATAAAAAGGACTCGTTACCCGAGCTACTAGCAAATTGTTCACAATCCGCAATTCTTAACCGCCACAGGCATAAAGCTAAACCTACTAAATTATTTGAAATAAAATGCAATATTAATTCCATTTATTCGGCTCTGACATCTAACATTGACATCATTTTCATAGCCTCTCAAGTCTTTTCTGGAATGGGACGCTAAAAGGTAACTAGTTGCTTTAAAACTAGCCAAACGCCTACATAAATAATTATCTACAGAATATCTACAATAAATATCGAATTACAAGAAGATATGTGTTACCTTTGAAATTATTAAATACTGGAATGTGAAAATGTACTTTTGGAATTAACGAGTATTGGAATTTAAAAAAAGTAGAAAAATCTTCGAATATTGCAAATATATTGTTATGTGAAAACTGTCTACACTCTTCAGTTTATTTCAAGTAGAAGTAATTTGTGAAAAAAGTAACCAGTAATGTAGTTGGTTTCGATTAAGGCGATTATCACACTGTACCGGGCCCCGTGACGGAGCGCGGAGCTGCGTTTTTCAACTTTGTACTGAAGTAGAGGTACTTACTTAGTAGAGGTACAAACTGAGGAGTTTGTATGGAAGACGCGCGGTCGAACACACAGACAACGCTTCTCCGCGCGCGGTTTTACCGCACCCCCGCGCGGAGGGGCGCCGCGTACCGCAGGGTAAGGCACACTGCGCTCCGCACTACCGCGCAGATTTTTAAGCTTAAGGACAAGTTCAGTTTTTTACAATAGATGTAGAAAACTGAACAAGTCGATCGACCAAATTTATCTTCATATTTTAGTAAATAATTGCAATTTGCAATTTTGAAGTTGAAATTATCTATTTATCGATGTTCTGTATTATTAACCATTCTTGGCAAAGAAGAATCTCGGCTACATATATAATCACTACGGCGATCAACTGCGAAGCGAGCACTAGATTAAACGCGTTGACGCAGATCTGCGTCTCCGCCACCGCGGGCGCGGTGCAGTGTGTTCATCACCTTACAGTAGATAAGCAACTTTAAAAATGAACGAATACTGAAAAAACGATTCCCATATTGGATTTGCGTATAAAATAACTGAGATAAGTTGGAGAAAAAGTTGATTACTCCGAAGTTGAGACAATTTAAATGTACGAGTTATTAATAGTAAGTTCATCCATCGCGGTTTGAAGTTTCTTATTCGGCCACGTAGACACGAATGACAAGTGGACCCTTACAAAGGTTCAGAGTCGTGATGATAACGCTTCCCTTTATCCTGGTAACTCACAACTGAGAAAATGGTCTTTCGTTTGGAATTTCAGAATTCGGTAACACGGAGAGGGTTCATTATGAAGCCAATTCATTTTCTTCACTTACAACCTAAACATTGCCTGGCCACTAAACACAATGGCGAAAATAATTTCCCAAGTGAGGTGTGACAGCAGCCGGTTGGGGTAGAGCAACGCGGGCTTTACAACAAGAGCACGGCGTGGTCGCGGTGCAGGCGCCTGCGCGCGCGCAGCGGCGCGGCGGCCAGCGCGTCCGAGGGCGCGGGCGGGCCGGCGGCGCGCGACCCGCGCTCCTGGTAGTACACCTGCGCGCCCCCGCACGACACGCCCACCACCACGCTTTCGTCGCTCCTGCAACCGGTTATTACCAGTACACGTTACGAGGGGTTCAGTGAGGCCGTCTTCCTCGTTTCGTGGACACTCGTCCAGGCGGCAGGGAGACCGATAGCGGACCGTGAAAGCCGATCTTCACCGTTAAGGTTAAAAGGAAATTGCATTCTATAGAAAGGGCGATACACCTGTAATAGATGTGTTTTATTTGCTTATACGTAGTTAAGTTGTTACCTTAAAATGAACTCCGACAACTCTGAATCCTCGCTAAACTCGTTATGTATAAGGCCCATAGTGGCAATATCCAACGCGGCCCAGGGACCCCCTTTCTTGACTGTCCCCCAGTCGGGGTCCAGCGTCAAGTAGCTGTAGTCTGTGGGTTCCATTCCTGCGGGTAGTGGCTCCATGCATTTTTCCTCGATTGGGCCTAGAGCGTTGAGGGAGATTTCCCACTGGAAACGTAAGAGTCTATGAATGAAATTAGTAACTTTCAAATCAATCAGTTGAAGAGATACACGTGTTTTGTACTACGGGCATTGGAATGAAATTCTTTGCCTGGAGATTTGTCCCCTGAACGCTATAACAAGGATCTTTTCACGGCGAGAGTCAATGGGCATTATGTAAGCGTGCATGCTTCATCGTCGACCTCATCGTAACTTCATCAGGTGGGATGGAGGGCAAATGCGCACTTTTTTAACTATAGAAAAATCACAGAATAAGTCCTTTTCCACGTGCTGATTGTATAAGTGGAAAATTTCCATAAAATCTTACCAACGAATTAATAGTGTCAGCATCGTTCGCCGCGTCCGTATCGATTAATGCCAACAAAGCCATGTTGTGCAGTCCGCTAACGAAGAGTCCGCATTTGACAGAGTGCTGACTGTATTCTGGAAGCACTTCAAGGTCGCAGTCAGAGTCTGCGTCGCTATCGCTGTCTTGCCGTTGCGTTTTCGGTCTGCGGACGTAACGATCGTCAAAAGCTGATTACATATGCCGGAGACTTGGCCGAAGAGTTCACTCCTTTGTAGTAACTATTTCAAGAATCTTTACTAAGATATCGTAACAAACATGTAATTCAAAGTTTACTCAAGACCGAAAAACGGATCAACACCTGTGCTGAAAAAGGCTAGACCGAAAAACGGATCAACACCTGTGCTGAAAAAGGCTTTCATATGGGAAATAAAGTCTTCCAATCATTGACGTACAAATAAATGGACGACGGGTCTAATACAAAAACCACGAAAAAAATGTCCCAAGTCAACTTATTCGAAATTTAAATTGTAATGTCATCGCAGTATCGCGCTGTCAGTCGAACAAATGAAGACTAAAGCGGAGTTTGGCGCTCTGTATACGATTTTGGCGCCTTACAAGTGCGGACACTTTTTAGCGCGGACCCGACGTCCATATAATTGTAAGTCAATGCTTCCAATCCATTATACCAGAAAAGTAAACAAACCACTTTGGTTAAAATTCTAAAGAAATCAATAAATGGAATGAGTAACATTGGAAAGTATTTATTTTCAAGATTTCGACTTGATATTTTTCCAGCAATATTCATTTGAATAAACATGTTAAATAAAATCTTATTTGAAAAATGTTAGTTCAAAAGTGAGGTTATTTTTCAAATATAGACTTGTGAACAGTCTATGGTTGCATAGGCCTATACGGAAATAACCATTCGGTTCATTCAATTAAAGTTTTTGTGATCGATTAGTGAATAGATAAATTATCTAAGTGTAAGAATTTGAAGGTGGATTAAAAAATAGATTTCGGAAATTTTATATTAGCTCTTACAGGTTATCTAAGAAAAAATTCTAATCTCATATATGAAATATCATCACTCAGTGAATGATTGAATTACATATTTTTTATAGTAATCAGTAGCGAAATCGCAAAGCCCATTTTATTATATGAAACCCAGTTATTCCAACTGATTCAATTAAACAAATCGATTCATTCAATTAATTCATCGATTTGTAGTTGGCAGTACAGTTGGCCATCACTAAACTGTCCATGGTCGGGTCAATGATCTGTTTGTTTTCTGGTACAATGAATTGGAGCACTATAATTGAGACTTGACTATTAAGAGGGGTAGTGATGTAATTGAGCAAAGCCAAGCTTACCTATCTGAAAATGTAACTTGTCTCTCGGTTGCAGGTGTCAAGAATTCCCTCAATTCTAAAGGCGTCATCACTCGACTGCTATAGCCGCTAGATTTGTCAGAAAATGCCAAATGACTCAGTTTCTCCATCAGGGGAGTCAACTGTACCCCAGTCAACTTCTTTTTGAAACTTGTCGCTTCGGAGTCCGACCCTATTTGAGAGTCTGAACTTTCAGATAACGACTTTAGAGGCAACGACAGAGATTTTCTTCTAGATTGATCCGTTGACAAAGTTTTAGTGGAATCTTTGGCTATCTTCTTGGACGTTCGTTGGGGAGATTTCACGAAATCCGAATCGAAATCTTTAAAATTATCTAATTCGCATAATTTCATGTTAAACGTAAACATATTGTCTTCTTTCTCGTCTTGCTTAATTCTTGCATAATGTTGCTCTAAGTACTGGTTGAAAAGAGACTCCGATATCGCGACTCCATCGTCTCTGAACACTGGGAAATAAGGGTCATTTATTGTCATTGTACTGTGTTTAAAAGCACGTTCTGGCGAATTTTCGTCGTCAGGAGATTTTGACCGCTTTAACTTGAACTTCGATGTTGCTCTATTGGATACGCGTTTAAATGTCTCTTGAATGTCAGTGACACTGGCCAGCTTTCTCATTGGTTGAGGTTTATTAATATAGTGGTCCGCAATACAGTTCATGTCTAAAACAATTTTGTTGTCTCGTTTATCGTTTTCAAGGTTCACTTTGGCACAGTTTTCAATGTTCTTGAGGACGTCTGGTTCTATGATTTCTTTTTCTTGGTTCTGGCTTTCTGGGTTTTGGCAGATGGATAATATGTTACCATGAAGGCGTTTGTATTCCACCATGGGTGTGGAGCATACACTCGTTTGGCCAGTGAAGACTTTTTCATTTTCTGTCGCGTCTTCATCAACTGATTTCTGTGTTTTGAAGCTGAGCGATAGTTTATTTGGCCTTTGTCGTGGTTTATTTGTGAAAGGGACGACATCTGGCATGCTTGGAGGTTTCCTATCTTGGTCGGTGTGCTCGTCTCTGTTGGGAGGCGATATCATCGTGTGGTCCTCTTCTGGTACGGCGGTGAACAGCAATGACTTGTCTCTCTTCATCCCTGTTTGGGGAAACTCACGCATTTTTTCACGTTCCGCCTCTTGGTTCTGGAATAAAAACATCGGCATGTAGTTCATACCATTAACTCTAATCGTGCAGACCACGAAAAGTGGACACCATTTTACTGTATTAATAAATACGAAAGTTGAAATAGAATGATAGTTTCATATCAAACGAACTGTCACAAGTGAGGCAAAAATCAAATTCATATAGGCTAGTTTTAGTAGTAGGTTAATTTTCGGTTTTAGTGAATATTTATATAAAAATACAAGTTGAAACGCGTTACTTCCTTGTGGAATGTGATGTTAGTATCTATTTTATGTTTGTCTGATGCATTTTTACACTCATTTACCGCACATTTCGTCATTCTTAGCTAAAATTCTTGATCTGTTCGCGGTGCAAGTTGACCTTGAGCACTGAAGGCCCGCCCGCTCGTGTAGGCCCTTTTGGCGCGCTTCAATTTGCCTCACTTAGTGTGTGCGGACTAGGTTTCTATGCGTTATTATTCCAAGGTTATTAATTACTCAATCACAGAATACCGACTGAACCAATTTTAGGACTGATTAACACGTAATAAATTTATAATTTTAAAAGGCAAACGAAGCGACGGGAAAGCTCGTATAACAAGTTACCTTTCTAAACCTTCCAATCATGTCTTCGCCGTTTAAATAAAACTCCTGCAACCTCTCAGCTTGCTTCTTCAGATTCTCGTAGGTCTTCTTGCCTACGTAGACGACCAGTAGCTGTGCGCCAAGCGGCAGTGGCGTCACCGTATCCAGGGTCTCCGCAGGGGACTTTATCCGGTACGGATCCACTACTGTGAGGTAGGACGTTAAGCCTGGAGGGAGCTGCGTCGCTATTATTCTGCGTAATTATTCATAAGTGATGTTTATTTCCATACCTTCCATACTTAAAATCATGGTGTTCAAGAAACCGAGACTGAATATTATCTAAAATCTTTAGTGACATTTATACTATAAACAGATATTTTGACAACTCCTTCGTTTGACTTATAAATACGGGCTTAACTTAAAACTGAGTGCAGGAAACATTTCTATCATTCTCATAACTATATTGAATTAAGTCAGATATAATTATGGAGCACCATAGTACAATGCCACAACATACGTTCTTGGGGCCAACTTATAACTTAAATACCGGTATAGATGAAACGTCAAATCCTGTACTTTCTGAAATTCATCCTTTCAAGGTCTCAAGTCCAGAATGGGTTTCTGACATGTGGAGTATTTCAAACCTCAAATTACCGGTCTTGTATAATTTAGGGGCACTACATTTATCGTTGTCTTACTTGTTATTGTACAAAACGACACCTCCCAAAACGCCTTTGCTTTTCCGACACTGTTCTAAAATCTGCATCGACTCCATGTAAATTGATGTGGCGCTCTGCAATAGACAAAAGCAGTACTGATTTATTATTATATTTAACTGCCTTAAGCCTTAGCCGGTGTCATTTGTGGTTGTCTACGTGTGTGTGTCCATGACATCCGCGATACAGGGTTTCTCTAGTGCGGTGCTGAGTGTGTGCGTTATTTTTTTTAGACTCTCGCCTCTCCCTATTATCATATTATTATTGTTGTTTTTATCCATTATGTTTTAACCATTGTAAGGCAAAAAGTAGGTCAGCGCTCCAGCGAGTCCAGAACAACCAACTGATAGCAGGCTTATTCATCCCAAAGATTACAAAGACCAAACTAGAAGAACGCACTAGAGGTCGACAAAGATTAAGCAGAATTACTGTCTGAATTTGATATGGGCGCTGAGTTTCTTATTAGCAGTCCTCCCAATAAACGTAGCCGAAATTCAAGATTGTCGGAAAGACGGAATCCGTGTAAATGAACTCTGGCCCAGTACACTCGTTCTCCATCTGACGTCCGTCCGAAACAATTACAATCAAATCAGTAACATTCGACCAAAATTAAAAGAAGCATGATGCGATTCATTGGCATTATACTTGACACTGCTTTTTATTTTGGTCGAGTATTATTTATTCGACAGTAATTGTTTCGGACAGATGGCGGACGGTGAACGAGAATAGATCCCCTGTTACGCTAAAACAGTCGACGAATCTACGTAACCAAATACGTGTCACCGACCTCAGGCAAGGTCAAATTTACTATGTCCACTGTCTGTTTGTGAAGTTACCCTTCTTGTCTTCTATATGGTATAAAGTCCGCTCCACATTCTTGTCAAAACTTCACGAGAACAGCCAAATACGAGAGTGTAGTGATCGTTTAGTCTCGCCTATGTTCGTGTGGTCTCCACTTCGTGTCGGTATTTCGGATCCGAATCAAAGGGCTCTCGTGTAGTTTTGTGTTTGCGCGAGACCCTTTCCTCCACATTTCCGTCACGGCATTCCGCCGGCAGTAACCGCAGTATTCTATTGCGATGTATTGATGTCATCCACCATCTGCGTCTATTCCAACGTCTCTTAATAAGTTTTTTTTCTCGAATTAACAAAAAAATGTAATATGCTATAGCACATAATGTTGCAGCAATAGACGTATCTAACACGTCCATCTTGTATGACTACCGAACAGACAACTGTGCGGGCGAGAATGTGGAGAGCCACTCTCGGTCACGTCCTGTCTCGGCGAGACCTGAGACCTGGATGTCTCGACGAGAATGTAGAGCGCACTTAACTCTCAGCATTTTCCGAACGATACAAAAATGGATCTTTTAAGCAGAGAGTGAATAGACATCATTTAAGTACGACACTTGTACACATCTTCACTTATCGTATGGTCAGATTGTGGACAAACGTAACGTAAGGCTATCTTTACACATAAAAATATAAATAACTTTTATGATTTAAACCTTAGTTAAGAATATACTACTAACTTAATAAATATACAAATTGTCCTATTTACTGAGTTAATATTTACCTGTCTGATAAGCCGCAGGTTAAGTGTAAATGTTTATTAAGTAATTACAACTATCTTATCTGATGCCTTGGTTTGTTGGCATGTAATTAGAATACTACTACTTTTTCCAGTTCTTGCTTACACACTGGAGATTATTTTTTCCGGATTTACTTTGGTGTATATATGTTTTTCAAACAAACCAACGCTTACAGACTCCATGATCACAGATGATGGCTGATAGTCAACCGGTCCCACTGTAGGGTAATTTTCCGAAAAAATTTTCTATGTCTGAGAGTGACGGACGCAGAGGCAGTGCCTTCCAAATCTTTGTAATTTAAAGCTATGAGTAGCACTGAAGATATTTTTAACCGACTTCAAAAAAAGGAGGAGGTTCTCAATTCGACTGTAGGTTTTTTTTTGTATGTATGTTACGCGATAACTCCGGTATTTGTGAACCGATTTTCATGATTCTTTTTTTGTCGGAAAGAAGGTACCTGCATAGCGGTCCCATTTAATTTTGAAGAAAATCATCCACCTCTAAGGGTGGCTGTTCACGCACGAAGATTCATTTTTATAAAAAGCGCCTAAATTTGATTATAAGGAGCAATTATTTTAATGCTTGATTTTACTATTCTCCAATTCAAGGCGTTTGTCTCTCTCAATATACTTTGAGTAGTGAGAGCCGATTTTTATTATCTCCTGTGTCAAGTCCCGTATAGTGGCCAACTAGGAGATGAATTCGGGTTTGCGCGCTTTCCGGTAACCGATCTCAATAAAACTTGGTAATTATTTGTAATTCCACGTACTTTTGAAGTCTGTTTTTTTAGCACTCTGTACTGAGATTATTGCTCGACTTGCTCGTCCCGTCACTTTATATCATAAAAAGAAAAAATATGGACGAATATACCCAGGATAAATTATTATTAATGTTGTTTGTTAGTGCGTACGTATATTTATAAAGTATATTTTGGCAACGACAACACATGTAAAGCACTTATAAACAAATTGATGTTTGAAATCAGGCTCACTTGTATACCATATCTTTTGCATACTATACATTTATTTAGTTATTATTTGCTGTCCTCTAGACGTCCTCGTCCTGATCCAATGTAATATAAACTAAACATTCTATATCGCCGCCCACTGACTGAAGTTTCAAATATCAGTCCGGCCTTGTTAGATTATTGTATAAGGCTTCTTTTGTTCAGTTTGTCACAGTAACTGTGTTATGGAAACGGTGACAAGGTTAAAGGGGTCATATTGACGTTTTGTTGTGATAGATTTAGTGATTTACAGTATTATTTTGTAAATTAGCAAAAAAAATTAACCATGGCGCAACGAAAATCTGTGTAGGTTAACAGATTTGTTCAAGTTTTCGAGCATTTGAGTTGAAATCGGGTGAATATTTACTGAGGACATTGTATATAAGGAGTTAAAACTTTTAATTGATTGATTAAGTACAGTCACGTTCTCACACCGACATACATATATGTACATGTTTTCAAGAAAAAAACGTCTGCCAATTCAAATAAAGAATGTTATTGCGTAATCTTAACTGAATTTTAACATTAAATCGAATAGAATAGAATAGAATAGAATAGAATCGTTTATTTCATGTTATCAATGTCACAATATTACAATTGGAAATACAATGTCAAGGGATAACTATGATCGTCAGTAACAAAATAATAATAATAATAATGAATATAAAATAAAGTAGTATAACTACTGCTTGTCGAGTAAAATGAAATTAAAATTGTTTCAAAAGAAACTCATCGACACTGTACAATTCAATATCCAATAAAAGGATTTTTAGTCGGGTACAAAACGTTTCATCGTTTCTAACACTTTTCAGGTCTGCGGGTAGATGTTCGTAGAATCGGGGACCTATTACTCTAAACCCTATTAATCTAAACAATGAAGGTATATTTTTAATTGCAGTAGGGACCTGATGAGTAATGGTATACATGCACTAACACTAAGCATGTCACCCTGAAATATAAATTGATAAGCCTCATGTGCCTGTAATTTCACCAACACCCATACTTTTCAAAACCAGAACGCATTAATGCTCACATTACAGCTTGGCGGCAGAAATAGGTAAGGGACATTACTTCCCTGGACGACCTGATTCACAAGCTGCTATACTGCCACGAAGTACGTGAACGAAGCATTGATGGTTGTTGAAAGATGTGTGTCGGTATCGTAGGAAGTGAAAGGTTGTGGTCTCTTGACTACCACGTTGCGAAAAGGGTGTATGTTACAAATGTGTGATAAAACTGGAACAAGAATTTGTTTTACCTTAGGCAGAGTGAGCATCGGCACTCGCTGGAATATGTGTGCGCCATATTGCAGCACCGGTAGATACGTCTCGAACACCTGTTAAAAAATTAGTCTGGTACATAAGGTGACATTATTACTGCCCTCTATATCATAACTAACATAATCGACATTTTTGGGGAAATTGAGTAATTAACATTATCTGGAACCAGTGAAACCTGATCTACAACTCGCTATAAGGGTTTTTTTTATATATTACAGTAATACCCGCTTTGTGCGACCCCGCATTTCGTTATAACGCGATTTTCAAAATTCGCGCTAAATTACCCCGATTGACGCGGATGCATTGATTTGATTGATTTAGCCAATTTGAACCCGTAGCTTCTCAGTTATTAAAAGTGCATTGTCACAGGTATTTCTTTAGATATATTATTTTTATAACAATAAATACAGAATATTTTTGGAATATACGGACACGTACACACAGGTCAATTGTTAGCGCCTTAGAATAATAACGCATAGAAACCTAGCCCGCACACGCTAAGTGAGGCAAATTGAAGCGCTCCCAAAGGGCCTACACGAGCGGGCGGGCCTTCAGTGCTCAAGGTCAACTTGCACCGCGAACAGCTCCAGAATTTTAGCTAAAAATGACGAAATGTGCGGTAAATGAGTGTAAAAATACGTCAGACAAACATAAAATAGATACTAACATCACATTCCACAAGGAAGTAACGCGTTTCAACTTGTATTTTTATCACTAAAACCGAAAATTAACCTACTACTAACTAGCCTACATGAATTTGATTTTTGCCTCACTTGTGCCAGTTCGTTTGATATGAAACCATCATTCTATGCGTTATTATTCTAAGGTTAGCGCTATATTATTTCAGCTTATAATTTGCAATTTCAGCGCAAACGAGAGTTGACATTTAAAAGTGATATAAGGCAAATTTGCCTGATGAGTTGCCAGGGTTGGATGGCCCTCATTTCGTCTCTGTTTCTGGTTATATACTCGATGTTTCAACGTAATTTCGCTGGCAATTTTTATTATTTAAGCATTATATTTTGACGGTCTCTGTTTTCGAGTGACTGCACACGGGTTTTTATGGTGTCGTCATCTCGGGTCAGTACTTCCCTGGACGAACTCTTTCACAAGTTCCATCACTTGTCAACTTGTCTCAGGGTAACGGGGGCGCAGTGGCAGTGCCCCTCGGATTTTTTGAGATTTGAACATCCTGACTGTCTCAAGCCGACTCTGCCTCGATAAGTGCCTCCTTGGTTGGTTTAAAATGTCTGCTACACCAGTTTATTTACCTGAAAGAGCTTTTCAGATAGTCGTTTAGGGTCGTCCATCTGTGCAGCCAGCGCTTGCAGGTCTCCGTGGTACACTTTTATCATGGATGTGAGCAGGTTCGCGCGATTCTTTAGCACCCAATCTGGGATGTTCCGGTCGCTACCTACAGCCTGCGCAAAAGACATACAGGTTGGTTATTATTAAATGTATAACATACAACCGAGAAAAAATATGTTACTTAAAAAAACACTAAATATTAGACAAAAAGTAGAAAGGTAGAAACAGATGAAAAACTTTTTTTATTTAACTTCCTAAGCGAGTTTGCGAGACTATAAACATTTAGAAAACTCGGACGTCCCTTGTGTTCTAAGTCCTATTCGAATCCGATAAAATGCGAATATCACTTGGACACTAAGGGCCGTATTCCAGAACTGTGCTCAATGCTCAAGTCAGGATTTGAGTATGATTCAAAGCACTAGAAATCATACTCAAGTCCTTGCCATTAGGGTCGTATTTCCAGTGCTTGAAATCATACTCAAGTCTGCTCAAATCCTGACTTGAGCATTCAGTAGAGTTCTGGAATACGACAAGAGTCGTATCTCTAAGGAGAGATAAAATGAGCCTTGTGACATTTCAGGCCGTCATTTCTCGGATTCAAAACTCGCCCTGCAGCACGATTTTCTTTGCCTCTCCCGATCGGAAACTGCGTCCCTTCCGAGTCAAGGCGCGTAAATGCGATTCACAACTGGCCGATCGCAAAACTTTTGTCATTTCTAATCGGAACAATAGGTGATTTAACTCACAAATTAGAAACATATAGTAGGAATCAGGTTCATCTTGTCGCTCGGAAACCCATCTAATTTCCAGACTACCCGATCGCATCGATTCCAATTTGAATCAAAATCAGGACGCTGTACTCTTGTTCTCCGTGCGACTAAACAATTACTGTCAAATAAGTAATACCTACTTGATCAAATTAAAAAACAATGTCAAGTATGAGGCTTCATTCGCATGATGCGTCTTCTTTGGTCGAGTATTGCTTATTTGACAGTAATTGTTTCGGACGGGAATGTCGGGAATGAGAGTAGACCCCCTGTTAAGAATCGGACGTAGTGCACAAACGCTCTAAGGCTCCGTGTACTGTGTAGATATGAGCGCCGATAAAAGACCAACCGGAGGCGACGCCGACGAAAAAGTGTCGGCGGCGGCGGCGTTTCGGCGGTGCTAGCGCTACCATGAAACGAATTTGTATAACGGTGTCTGTTTTTACAAAAACCGTTATACAAATATTTTTTCAAAAGAAAACAGAAAATAACGTATTTTCTATAGTAATCAAATTTTTATCAGCACGCGCACGCTTCCATATTATGTATGCGTAGTGAAAATGGCGACGTCAGAAATTGACAAATTAATGTTTTAAATAAAACATCTTCGGATATAAAGTCACTAAGTTTTATCTTACACAGAAAAAAAGGATTTCTACTAATAAGAAAGAGCAATTTCTCAAAATATTTGCTAATTCTGAAAAAATATTTATTAAAAGTAATAAAATATTGTCACTACAAAAATACTGCTTATCTTTTTCTAATACAATTTTACTCTTAACTTTATTCTAACTTTGAGACAAATACGTTCACTTCAAGATTTTATTTCATTTCTAATCAATTAATTGGACATTACTTATATCAAGAAATTTTTACCTCTTACATCAAATTTAAATAATCTTAAATGAATTCAAAATTTCTTGGGTGTATTTTAAGAAAATATATTCTTAAACAAAAAAAGAAGTAGTTTTCTATTCAGATTAATATTCTAAATTCTAGAGTATATTCTTAAAGCAACATTTCGTTGCGTTTTCATAGTCAATCTTGTCGTGACATGTCGCCGAAGGCGCACGCGGTAACGATTACTTTTACTTGTGCTTGTAATCATAAAAATCATAAACAGTCATTTATCCAAAGAAACAATACGTAGTATCTCTAGTTTGTTAGGGTGTTCTTTATAGTCATAATTTAAGAAATTTGGTTACAGCATGAAATCAAACTACACTTGTAACAAGCATAACATGCAATTAGTTCCATCACGCCACTGCTAGATGGCATTAGATGTACTCTGAAACGCGCTATCGTTTTGTTAACTTCAATAGTATAAAGTCATCTCATATATTTGGAATTGTTAGTGCTTTCTGCCGCTGTAGCATTTATACGGCACTGGATGGTCCTCAAGTATTTGAGAAGATTCCATATTTCCATCCTATTTCTGCTACTTTAAGGTTTGGCACTGTTGGGTCCATAACCCTGTAAATTTATCCTTTTTGATATTAGAAAACAATAAATCTTCAGTCAAAAAATTAAGTACATCTCAATTTTTCATCTATTTTTTTTCAAATCAAAATCGGACATTTCTAATAACAAATAAATATTTTGTTGAATCTAGAGTGGCTTTGTGACTTGAAGTAAATTAATTTGCTCTTGGATTAAATATTTCTGTCTTGTAACGAAAATACACTTTTGAGACGTTTTTTTACTATTATCAAGTAATTATTCTCTAGCGTCTATAGGGAGAGAATCGTTTTGTTGGATTTAATAAATTTGTCTTCATAAAAAGAATTTTGTCTTTTTCTAAGTAATCTGTTTTTACCGTGAGAAATGTCAATTTGTGGCGTCGCCATTTTCATTAAACATTCACAATACGAAAGTGTGCGCGTGCGCACGATCGGAGCGCCTGATCCAAGTGAACTTGAACTGACCTGACCGGCGTGCCTTAATGATATGGAAGAATAGTTTTCAAACAAATTAAATGACATTTCGTCTCTATTTCTGGTTATATATTCGATGATCATATGATACATGCCGCATTTTATTATATGGTAAGGGTCTGGACTTACCAAGATATATCTGCCATATTCCCTGATGATGAACTTGCCGCTCTGCAACGTGATGGCCACTGGCTGCGAGAACAAAGACTTGACGCAATGCGCCGTACCCACAACCTGTTAACAAAAATACTTTCCGTGACATATATACACGTATACAAGTGACTTTGGTGAAATGTACGTCTCACGGCGCGTGCCCATTATGTCGTGAGATAGTCGTGCAGTTTAAAGTGTTGTGTATATTTAAATGAAGTTGTTCACACATAGAACAACACGATTAATTGTCGTTGACGACTTTTTTCACGTTACGACAACAGATTGTTGTGACAATGGGAAGAGCTAGAACGACAGTCGTCCTACAATAAAATAAAACGTCACGACAAAAATGTGACGACAGATAATCGCAGCATCAAACGATTCTGTCGTGCAAACGACAAGGCGGCTGCCGTGAACCGATAAATTGTTGTCGCGATCTAGTGGGAACAGTTAGACACGACAGTAGTTCAACGATAAAATAAACGCCCACGATACAGTCACGACAGATAGTCGTGATATGGGAACAGGCTAGACGCGACAGTCGTCCAACGATAAATAAAACGTTACGACATAATGGAAACGCGCCGCGCAAAAAGATAATTGGGACCTAACGACAGAGCGACAAGGCTTATCTTGGGACCTGAGAAAACTGAAACGCTCTTTCAGATACCTGGGAGACAGGATTATGTAGAATGTTGTAAAGAAGAGAGACGATATGTAAGTTCCTGCGGAGACGAATGGGAAGCCACTTGAGCTGATTGCGATTGTCTGAGATTCGATCATATTTACGAAGGTCAAACATGAACCTTATACAAAGATTTTGCAACCGTTCAAGCTTATTTAGCAGTTCTTCAGTAGCATGTAAATAGCAGGAATCTGCATAGTCTAAGAAGGGTAAAATATGAGATTGAGCTAAACGGATCTTGGTTTTTAAAGGCATAAAGTTTTGGAGGCGCTTAAGCGAGTGCAAGGAGAAATGGACTTTTCGACTGACTTCATTAATATGTTATAGACAGATAGATAGATAACACGTTTATACACATTATCCATTTTACACACTATTACACTGTATACAAAGTCTAGGTATCGTATAAAATGCCAGCAGTAGATTTAGAAAGGTATAAAGGTAGATAGACAAAAATATAAGGTAGAAAGACAAAAAAAAGTAATAGTACATGGCTGAAAGCTATAATAACTCGAGATTTGTAATTTTTACCACCAATGTTTTTCATCATATTTGCGAGGAAAGAAATACAATGATAATTTATTTTTTGCGTGAATAAATATCGCTTCACAACACTATAATGAGTTTTGTAATCGGCGGGATTTGTGTTTTTTTTTTTCTTATAGAACTGTGGAGTTCTGCACCAAAATCATATTTCATCACAACTGTGTAACTTATTTAATTGAAATTAATTACTTACCTACATTTTTTTAAAGTGTCATTGAACATTAGCAAGCAATTACCTCATCTATCACTTAAATAGTAAAACTGGTTTCAAGTTATGCAGTTTGTTGGAAACCAGTATAGTTTCCAAATATTCCACAATTCAAATTGGGAAATTTCTACAAATTTTTGTAATGTTCTAAATAAAGATATAAGTACATTTTGGAATGCTAAGTGATATTTTTTTTCTTTATAAAAATAAGTTTTTTTCTCCACAAAATACATATGTACAGCTAGGATCAGTTTACACATTGAGTTTCAGTAAACAAGATTTTGTGGGAGACTGGTGCCTAAACTAAGCATAAAAATGCCAGTGCGTCACCCCACCCGGCTCCAACGTCTCAGAAATATAAGTTAAATAACTATTCAAACAAGGTATTTTTACACTACTAATGTCAACAAATAATATTGATAAGTTGCTCCTCACTCCACAGATACAAACATGAAATTAATTTTACAAATTACAATTTCGAAAAGACTAATTAGTCATGTGTAAGTGTATAATAAGGGGTGTTAGTTTATTTGTTAATTGTAAAGTCACTTAACTATTGAAAGATTTGAATCAAAGACTAAAAAAGTCAAAGACGTAATAAAACAGCAGAAATGGCGTTGGACAGGATGTATGAAGAGAAAAATTGATAAGTAGACAAGGGATATTGCGGAATGGTACCCAATAGAGTGGTAAAAGGAAGAATGGGAGACCATACTTTAGATGGGAAGACGATTTTAAATATGTTGCTGGAGGAGCATGGAGGCAAACAGCGAAAGATAAGGAGAAATGGAAATTTCTGGAAAAGGCATCCCAAATAGTGAAGAGCATTGCTTTTGTATCCATAGTACAGGGAATTACCTAGTTTGAGACCAAGTAATGGTGTGATTGTCTGGCACATAATTAATATTATATATTATTACATCATGTGAAGCAAATTAAATATAAACAAAATTTACCTGTCCCGCAAGCGCATGTCTCTGTGTATCAGACACCCAACTTGGATGGAAGTACAGAACAGCATCAATAGGATCATCCTCCTCTGATGTGCAGCATTGTGTGTCGTACACAAACACTATCATCATTTCCCTGAAAATTGTCTCAGTGATCATATGTTCAACAGTAAAAGTTATAAATAGGAACAAGAATCATGTCATATTACATCGACACTGGAAAGGAAAGTGTGTAACATGCATTTGGAAAATATTACATTGTGATTTTTTTTTGTTCACTGTATAACCATGCCATCATAATCGCTTTGTGTACTTAAGATCGAATTTCTTCCTTTACTTTGTTGATTTTAGGTAGTGATGGACTTCCGAGTTGCGAATGAACCAGGCCGTATCAGAAATCTGCTTGAGGATGGAATTTTCAGCTCTTAGTATTAGTGCAATATTTGAATTGCATATGGCACCCCAAAGCTGAATGCCTTAAGTCCATACTAATTTAAGGACAGTCTTATCTATATGAGAAGCTTATCGTTAAGAGACAGCACACTGTTCCTTTTAAGCAGTTAGTATAGTTCGCAAAATCAGATGTTGAGTTCATCTCTTTTTGCTCAGACATAATTCCTATTTGTTATAATATGGAAAACTAGAAAGTTTCAGCTATATGTGACAAAATAAAATTAAAGTTTTGGTTTCTTTATCTTAAAAAAAATCATTTTAAATCTCTCTCCTGTAATAATTTCCAAATGCATGTTAAACATTTTACCTTTCCAATGTCGATTGTAAAACAACAATTTCTTACACAGCAATGGTACTTGGTTGTTATGTCTGTTAGTTATTTAATTTTTTCAGAAGTGTTTTAAGTTTTGCTTTCTGCTTTATGAATTAATGCCAAAATTTGAAATAGGCAAAGGACATGTACCTAAACGTCATGTTCTATATACAAAAGATAAATGCCTCCCTTTGAAACCCTCGAATGAATAAATTTATAAAGTTATATACAACAAG